CCCCCCCCCGCATGGACAGGGAGTACGTCTGTCGTCCTGTTGTCATGTTGACGCACGTGTCTGTCTCTACCTAGGCCTGCCGTGTGTGGCTGGATGCACTTGAGAAGCTGCCCGAACACCGAATACACGCATATGCGATCCTGCACAACAAATATTAATTACACAAAGGGAGGGGAGACTTTCCACTCTCTGCTTTGCTTGTGAATGTGAGTTTGCACCCACCTCTGGCGGACTGTCGATGACTATGACGGCAGCGTCATCGTGCGCCCACTGCAGCTGCTGGGCGTCACATGTGGCGATGGGCAGCTGCTGCAGGCAGCTCCAGTCATCGCACGCAATCACCGACACGCCATCACGGCCGTCCTGTAGGCATGTTCTCACACACACACACACACACTCACACGTGGAATATCTCGCCCTCTGAGAGCTTCCTCTGCAGGGTGATGTCCTGTCTACCTGTCTCTGCAGCACTGCCATGTACTTGCTGTCCTTGCCGCTGAACGACACAACTGCCAAAGCACACACGCACACGTATGAGTGCGGATGCATCACTTCACCCTCGATGTGTGCCCATCGCACTCACCTTTGCGGCCCTGCTTCGGGTTCTTGACGTGGCACACGGCAGCGCGAGAGCCAACATCCCATACGGTGAGCTTCAGCTGGAAGTCGGAGAAGGTCACGATGTGGCCGCCATCGGGAGAAAACATCGCGTCGATAACCCCTGTGAGGAGCAAAGGCATGGGACACGCATTTCTCTTGCCGTAATGACCTCCCTCCCTGTCGGCCCCTCCCTTTCCCTCACCTGAGATGCCTGCATTGATCCTGAAGGACCAATCCTTCGACCGAACATCGAACACTGCACACAACAAAAGCCAAATGCAGCTGCAGGTGCGGGGTGGCAGTATTCCACTCCTCTCCTCCTTGGCAGCGGCCCGACCTTGGACCACCCCTGAGAGGCGGACATGCATAATAAAATGTATCATTGTAGGCCGTCCTGTGCACGACAGATCTGATTTCCCACGCATACCTCGTTTGTGTTGGGCGCATAAGAGAAAGGGGCCCCTCGGGGACCACTCTGCATCAGTAGAATACAATGAGTGCACCAGGTGGGGGTGGGGTCGGCATCTTGTTCCGGCCACCGCACCTATCTTGTCGACTCGGTCAAGGCACTGGAATGAGGCCGAGACATTGTGTGTTATTGCCAGCCGCACCAGAACTGTTGCCCCTGCGGTGCCTGCGATGTATGTCCCGTCAGGGGACCACTCGTTGTTGGCCTGACCCGGAATCTGTTCGAAATCCATCTAGATCTTGCAGAGTCGATGGCGGGTGAGTGAACGTATATGTGTATCCGCAGAACGGATGGGATCGGTCACAGTAGCCACCACAGACGTATAGTGAATGTCAACAACACAAACTGCACCACCACATCTCACACAAGACACCAGCCACACACAACAACATAGTAGGGATGGACAACACCGTGTGTGTAGGGGTGGGGCGAGTAGCGTACCGTACCACCGGAATATGCACAGCATGCCCCAGTGACCCAAACCACCAGTACACCACAGACAGATAGTCACCCTGTACCAACATCCAGACACAGAGAGGGAGAGGTGATGGATGTGTAGAGCGCCACGTGAGATGGCCTGTGTGCGGGCGGCGTACCAACAGCAGTGAGTCATGCGAGCATTGCGGAGATCCGGCCGTACCAGCGAGATGAGCTACGACCCCGATATGATGGCAGCCAAAGCGCAAAACGTGCCAGCAACGCACACTGAACACACTGCATCCACACGACACAAGAGAGCGATGAATGGATGGATAGATGTGTGCGAGAGGTGCCGTACATGTACCTGCAATGGCAATCAGATGCCTTCGGGCGTTGTGCGTGTCGTGTATCAGCTGTCTTTTTTGCTTGCGCCAGAACCGTAAACGGAAGCAACCCTTATGCACAGACTGCTGTCAAAACGATGCGTGGATACACTGGGCCAAAACCAAGGCGAAACACAAAGCCACAGCGTGGTGTAGCCGCGACACATCTGGATCTGTTTGGGCTGGCCAAGTTTGTGGCGAGGCTGCATTCAATGGGAGGAGGGGGCCGAGCCGCCTGAAGTGGCCCCCACCACCCCCACCTGGGAGTTCGAAGGAGCCTGAGGTACTACAGTTCAGAGGGTGAGCGGCGCTTTGACGTCTCGTCCTCCTTGCTGCTTGTTTGCACTGGGTCTCTTTGAAAATCTCATTGCAGCGTTGCAGCGCTGAAGGGGCGCAATGGCGTGTGAGGTGAGCATGGCGTCTGCTGACGGGCAAGGAATCGCACGCTCTCTCGCCAAACTTGAGGCCGAGATGACACAGGGGCACATTGACAGGAAGCTGCGCCGTCTGGTCAGTAAGCTAGGAGGGTGGTGCCGCCTGCTCTTCCCATCAGTGCAGATGTGTGCGCCAACAGGACATGAACACGTATCGCACCACCTACGCGGATATGACGCATGGGGTGGGTAACCGATCAATGCCGCAGCGAGAGAGAGGACAGACAGGACCGCTGCACGGCTGCACATCTGCCTGTTTGTTTGTCTGATGTGCATGTGGGCGCACCGTGCAGCTGGAGACGAGTATCAAGAGCGACTACCCCAGCGGTTATGGAGGTCATGTGCCCAACCTGCGCCACCAAGTGCTGTTCCGCAACACCAAATTCGATGACGACCTGCTCACCAGGAGACACGAGTTCCGCGACGCCTTGCCGGACTTCACGGCCAACAAACTGGGGTTGGGGGAAGGGCCACGCACTCACATGCATTGCACACACTCAGACTTTTCTCCTTTTCACGCCCTGTCTGTCTGTCAGACTCCCGTACTACACCGCAAACCCCAGGGTGCCGACGGACGTCAACACGTTCGGGACCAAGATGAAGGAGAATCCGCTGATAAGTCCCCCCTGGTGCATCCAGGCACTGCCCCAGCTGCAGAAGCCGCCCACCTTCAGGAACGCACAAGAGGTGTGCCAGCAGCAAAGGGGGATGCACACAGACAGATCAGGTGTTGGTTGCTTTTTTTTCCATTGATGCCTGCGTCAGCTGGCGCGTAACCTTCGTGAGAGGCAGCATGAGAAGGCTGAGAAGGAGAAGACACAGACGACGCTCAAGGCCACCAAGGCAAGTACTGGGGAGGGGCCCAAGGAGGGCGAGCAGATCGTGGCGCCGCGCGATACAGCTGAAATCAAACCCTCAGAGGAGACAGAACATGTGCTCAAGGTATTTTCCGACGACAGCACACCGGCCACTTGATATCCATTGCAGTGTACACGCCCATGTCTCCCTCCCTTCAATCTCTGCAGGAGGCTGTTGCAGGTGGTGGCGAAGCCAAGGCAGCTGAGGCGGCAGACAAGGCGCCAGAGGAGCAGAAGGAAGCGCCACCTGCTGAGCAACAGAAGGAAGCACCCAAAGAGGAAGAGGTCGTTGTTGGAGAAGACGCTCAGGACCAGCTCATCGTCTCACAGCGACCAGGTACACGCCTTCTGTGAGTGCGTCTTCTTGCGGACGTGTCTGCTTTCATACATTTTGTTACATACGTACGTACGAACATGTCTGTGCATTACAAACAGCGATGCCTGTTGGCAGTGGAGCTTACTACAGGGAGCCTGTGAGAGGACCGTCTGAGACACGTCTGCACAAGGTGCTGACTACTTATGAGGCTGCCCACCTCATCAACAACCCAAAGGCATCGCAAAAACCCGTACGTGCAGCCTGCACCGCACCCTAGTTTCCTAAACCCACAAAGAGGCAGGCAATGGAGAGAAGGATGGATGGATGGGTTTCTGTGGTGTGAATGGATGTATGTGTGTGTGTGTACAGGTGGCGCCCAGGGTTGATCACCACAAGACGCACTTCGAATAAATGACCGAGCTGTGTGCACTGGATGGGATGATTGAATCAGTGAGCAGTGACGTCTGTCTGCACATACAAACAGGACCATCGCAGATGGACCATCCATTGATCGATCAACACTGTGTGTAAGGCTTTAATTGCAATGTCTCGCATGCAACTACGATGGCCACTGCCTGCCAATACATCCACACGCGTCTCACAGTAGAGACTTCGAAATCATCCACTGCACGAGCTAGCTAATCCCCCGCCCGCTAAATTAGGCTGACAACTCATCAGCGAGCAAGTGGGCCGACCAAATGCCCCCCCACATATACACACACGTGTGACCGCCCCACCCTCGGTCGTCACGGGCAACACGGCGCCCCATCTGCCTGCTCATCATGCTTTCCTGCCGCTATCGTCACGGGCACCGCCACGCCCCACGTTGGCGAGAAACAGAACGCACCGACGCCGAAACCCAGTATGACACAGAGGAACAGACCTGCAGCGAGGGCAGCCAGATACTCAGACAGACAGACATATGCATGGTGGCTGGAGAGACGGAATAACGCCGTCTGTCTGTCTGTCTGGCTGTCACTGCCTCAATCGACACATACCTGCGTTAAACGTCATGGTGACGAGCATGAGGCCATAATCGAGGCCCAGTGTGACGGTGGTGAGGAAGCTGCAGTGTGGCGACACACAGCAGCCAGGTGAGGAACGGATGCAGTCTTCGTTCCATACACAGCCTCCGTACCTTCTGATGAGATTGTGTTTGAGGTGCTGCCGTGAGAGCATGGCCTTGACGGCCTGCTCCTGCTGCTCCTCAGGAATGACCACGATGGCCGAGCAGTAGGCCTCCGCTGACGTCCCATTGGCCCTCCCGCCCTCATCCATCGCGTGATAAGCCTTACTCCCCTCCCCATTAAGCGCCGTCCCCCTCTCAGCGGGCGAGAGGAAGGCCTCGCGCGTCGTTCCCGCCCCTACTGCCGTCTGAGATGACTGGCTCGCCACCTGCCGCTCGGTGCTGCCGAAGGACTGCGAGCCTTTGCGTGTTGGGGTGATAATGGCGATGGTCTCGAGCTCACGGTAGGAGCCATCTTTGCCCCAGAAGCCGGGCGTGCGTGCGCTGGCGGAAGGGAGAGAGGCGTCGAGCTGTCCTCCAGAATGTGGGTCCATGTTGGACTCGTCCGACGAGAGATGGAGAGAGGAGCGGGACCAGTGCTGCTCGACGTCACGACGCACCTTCTTGAGCCACATCGACAGCACCGCCGCCGCAAACACAATGAGGGCGGAGAGGGCGAACTGGAGAGGGGTAGTCGTGCTCCACCACCTGTTGGAACCAAACAGGCAGGGCATCGCATCGTACGGCATGAGACCATACCGTCTTCCTTCTCTTTGCCCCACTGACTTGAAGAGTATGGTGACATTCCATCCCCAGTAGAACCACATCTGCATCATCATCATGTCCATCCCTCCACCGCCATCCATTCCATCGCAGGCCATCGTAGAGTTGCTATCCGACATGGTCATTGACAACTCTCTCCAATGGCTCCTGAAGCAGGCCACACACCAAACACAGGAGCCATCTTTATCGCGCGGTCGCCACTGCCACTGCTTCAGTGAACCTTACTGAGAGAATCTGCTGGAGCACTGAGAGAAGAGAAGAGAAGAGGGAAGAGGTGAGAGGGAAGAGGGACAAGGGAATGGGACAGTGCTGCGAGCTTTGAACAATTTCGGGCATGCTGTGAAACGGTGTTGCGAGCTTTGAGGAGGAGGAAAAGGAGGAGGAGAGGCGTGAAACGTCAAACTCGAAGGACGCTGACTAGCTTCAGCTGTCTCGACGATACGAACAGGAGGCTCCAGCTGTTTATCCGCTGCGAGCTTGAAGCAACCCGCAGCGGCAGAGAAGAGTGTGCTGCTTGGCTGCTGCACCACAGAGAAGGTAAATAATCGAAGGACACTGATCTTCCCGCAGCAGCGCGGCGTTTAAGACGGAAAGATCTCTCTTTCACCCCGGTAAGGACACGGAGGGAAGACCGTGGTTCTCCGCGTCTGCCACGAGTGGATGCTTGCCTGTGTGATGTCTGCTGCCGCAGGCGGTCAGCGATGGCGGGCTGAGACGAGCCGAACAACAACCGTGATCCGTGTGCCACAGTGCCAATCATTTATGTGCGGCGCTCGTGCTCTTGGTGACTCTCTGTGACGTTGGCTGCTCGGCTGTCGACCGCTCAACCATCCCTCGGCCGTTGTCGGGAGTCGTCACTCACTGACTGACTGACTGACTGACTCAGTGACTGCTTGTAGGAGGACAGACAGCTGTGTGTGAGTCAGTGATTTATCTATCCTTCATCGCAATGCCGCGGGCGGAGTGTGCCGATTTTGCTTGTCTGAGGCGACTGGCTGACTGACTTTGTGTTTGTCTGAGGCGACTGGCTGAGTGACTGACGACGGGCCGTTTGCTTCTGTCATTCCGTGTTGATTGAGTTTAAGTAGGGGTACATACGTTCAAGTCTATACAGAGACAGACGGGTGTGGGTGTGCTGCGTGGACCAGCTGTCCGCAGCAGAATCATCCGTCCTTCTCGTCCTTGCCTAGCTAGGTCCTGCCTTGTCTTGCCTTGCTGTGTATAAGTCTGTCGATTGATTCCTTTCTGTGTCCTGTTGTGGCAGTTTTGATCATTACGACGTATCGATTGACTGTCTGTCTGTGAAGAGAGTCAGTCAGTCAGGCAGCCAGTCAGTCAGTCATACACCTCTCTCTCTCACTTACTCGTTCTCTCTCGCTCGCTCTTTGTCTCGTGGTCTCGAAGAGATGGAAGAGCCTTTCCCTCGCGCATCTGACGATGTTGCCCACCAGCCTGGTGTCCCCCCTCCCCACGCCCCCTCCCCATCCCCCTCTCACCAATTCCCCGCCCCGCCCCCCGCCAGCTTCTTCGCCACCCTGCAGCGATGGGCCTACGAGGTGCCGGACCGCATCGCCTTCCAGTGGCTGGGGCTCGACGGCCAAGAGCAGCACCGGCTGACGTATGGAGCGCTGATTGAGCACGTGCGCAAGACGGCATGGTATCTGGAGCACACGTTGGGTCTGGGCAAGGGCGACAGGGTGCTGCTGTGCTACCCACCGTCCAACGACTTCACGGTGCCCTTCATGGCCTGCCTGGCCACCGGCATCATCGCCGTGCCCGTCTACCCGGCCGACCCCAAGAAGCCCAAGGAGGTGCAGCGGCTGCTGCGGGTGGCAGCATCGGCGCGCACCAAGCACGCCCTCACCAACACATCCTACCACCGCATGATCACACTCGCAGCGGGGCTGGGAGGCCTCGCGGGAGGGCAGGGGGAGGGCCTCCAGCAGCTCAAGTGGACCGTCACCGACACCGTCACACGGACAGTGGGGCGCGACGAGTCCGTTGCGTGGCGGCCGGCTGATTTGGAGCCATCCGAGGTGGCCTTCCTGCAATTCACATCGGGGTCCACCAGCGACCCCAAGGGCGTCATGGTGACGCACGGCTCCCTCGTCTTCAACGTCCACGTGTGCAGCATGACCTTCGGATTCGCCAACGACGTGGAGCGAAAGGCGCACACAGAGGCCCAGCAGCAGCAGCAGAGGGACAGAGGTGAGAAGACGGCCACGGCGGCGGCGTCGCCTGTCCCCTTCCTCTACATGGACGGCGATTACCCCCTCGACAAGCTGCAGGCGTATTTGCGTGAGCGGCATGCCCTCTCCCAGCAGGTGCTCGGCCACCCGTGTCGGGCATTCAGCTGGCTGCCCATGTACCACGACATGGGGTTAGTGGGGTTCGTCCTCAGCACCTCGTTCAGCGGCCTCGAGACCTACCTGATGTCACCGCTGGACTTCATCAAGCGCCCTCACGCGTGGCTGCACCTGATGAGCCGCTACCAGTGCATCGCGTGTGCGGCGCCCAACTTCGCCTTCGACCTGGTGTGCCGCAAGATGCCCGATGAGATCTTCAACTCGCTGGACTTCCGGTGGGTCAGCCAGGGGGGCTTCCTGTGCGGCGCAGAGCCCATCAGAGACAAAACCGTCAAGAGATTCCTCAAGGTAAACAGAGAGAGAGGAGGGAGGGAGGGAGGGCACACGAATGTTCTTTCGCAAACCTCACGTCTCCTCTGTGTGTGTGTCTATGCAGCGTTTTGCGTCCAAGGGAGTGAAGCCATGGAGTTTCCTCCCGGCGTATGGCCTGGCCGAGAACACCCTGCTCGTGACGGGGAAGCGGGAGTTCCACCAGGGGCCGCTGTTTCTCACTGTCGACAACGAGGAACTGACACACAATGGACGCATCGTCGTGGTGAGCAAGCAATGATCAAGGATGCAACCATGGGCAAGAAGACGCTGCTCAACATTTGTGTGTGCCGTCAGGTTCGTGAGGAGAGTTTGAGTGACAGCGATGTCAATCTGGCGGACTGGGACGACGTGGCTGAAGAGCCGTCGGCCCGCCTCAAGACACTGGTCGGCTGCGGGCAGCCCGTGCAGGGCACCGATGTGCGCATCGTCGACCCAGAGACCCTCAACGAGGTTCATGAGGAGGGCAAACACGGAGAGATATGGGTCATGTCAAGAAGGTGAGTCGAGTGAAGACACAACCACAGCAAAAGACACACACCCACATGTGTAATATGGGTACTGCACCTCCTGTCTGCCTCTGTTTGTTTGCATTGATCAGCAATGCGTTGGGCTACTGGGACCAGCCCCAGCAGACTGAGGAGACGTTTCGTGCCCAGTTCTCACAGTCGACAGGCGAGCTGTCTGCGCGTCGGTTCCTCCGCACTGGCGACTTCGGGTTTCTGTGGAAGGGCATGCTGTTCGTGACGGGTCGCATGAAGGACATGGTGATAGTCCGCGGCCGCAACTACTACCCACAGGACGTCGAGGAGGCAGTGGAGGGATGCCACGAGGCCATCAGGCCAGGGTGCTGCGCGGCCTTCTCGACCGACGCCAATGGCACCACCACCACAACAGCAGCGGCAGCGGGCGAGTGTCAGGGTGAGCTCCTCGTGGTGGTCGCCGAGGTCAGAAACGCCGAGGCGTCGTGGTACAGCCGGCTCTTCCAGCGCGTCAAGAGAGACGAGTACACGGCCATCTGTGAGGCCATCTGCCGGGCGGTGCAGACGCAGGTGGGCCTGCCGGTCGCCAGGGTGATCCTTCTCGCCCCACGTACCATCCTCAAGACATCAAGCGGCAAGATCCAGCGGCAGCGCACCAAGGCTGAGCTCACTGACGGCCAACTCAAGGGCATCGTGTTCCAGTACGAGAACGACCACTCTGCGAGCGGATCCATGCAGCAGCAGCCGCACCCCGCCAGTGGAGGGGATGATGGAGGAGTCTGTGACGCACACGAGGCGTCCTCCCCGTCGGTGCCCACTGACGGAGGTGAGGTGGCCAGCGGCAACGTCAACCACCCACACGGAGGACCGGGCCACCTCCACACGTCCCTGTCGTCGACCAGACTGGTCGGTGAGTCGGCAGCGACGGATGACGGTGCGCCGGAAACGCCAGAACCCACTGAAGGAGGCGAGTGCGTCACGGCTCCGCAACAAATCATCCGCGTGTCTCAGCGAGAGATCCAGGAGGTGATAGTGTCTGCGCTTGGTGAGATCGTCCGTCTGCCCGACCGCCCCGGCCTCGACTGCCCCCTGCACGAGCTGGGCATCGACTCGATAGCCGCGGTCAACTTCTGCAACCTGCTGGGCAAGCGGCTGTCGCGAGACTTCCCTGCGACGCTGCTGTTCGACTACCCGACGATCCGCGACCTGACCAACTACATCATGGAGGACGAGGAATGCGGGCGGGCGGGGGGCTGGTCACCCGCTGGTGGCACCAACAGACGCGCATGGATTGCTGCGGACTCGTCTGCCGAGGACAGGGGCATCGCCGTAGTGAGCACTGCGTGTCGCTTCCCCTGCGGCGTGTCGTCGAGCAAGCAGTTCTGGGAGTTCCTCATGGATGGGTGCGACGGTATCACAGCGGTGCCTCTCAGTCGGTGGGACATGCACGTCTACTACGACGGGGAGGGGGACAACACGGGCGACCGGTGCTACGTGCAACACGGGGGCTTCATCGAGGACATCGAGTTCTTCGATGCGGGCGTGTTCGGCATTGCCACAGCAGAGGTGTGGAGCATGGACCCACAGCAACGGTGTGTGCTGGAGGTCGGCTACGAGGCCCTTCACGCAGCAGGATTCACCAGAGAGAGCCTGCTGGGGGGCGACACGGGCGTCTTCGTCGGCTGCTGCTCGTTCGACTGGAGCAACATGATGCACAAGTGCATCGCTCACGCCAGCCCCTTCAGCAGCACAGGGAGTGCGGCCAGCATCCTGGCCAACAGGATGTCGTACGTCTTCGGTCTGAAGGGTCCGAGCATGACCATCGACACGGCCTGCTCGTCCTCGCTCGTCGCCGTCGATATGGCCTCCCGCCACCTGTTGCGAGGCTATGGCAAGGCCGTCATGGCTGGCGGCGTCAACCTGATGCTCGCTCCCCACTCATTCATCGCCTTCTGCAAGGCGGGCATGCTGGCGCCCGATGGCAAGTGCAAGACCTTCGACGAGGCAGCCAACGGATACTCGCGTGGTGATGGGTGCGGCATGGTGGTCATGAAGCGCCAGAGCGATGCCAGAGACAATGAAGATGACATTCTGGCGGTGCTGAGGGGGTCAGGGGTCAACCAGGACGGCAGATCGGCATCGCTCACCGCACCCAACGGCCCATCACAGCAGCGATGCATCCGGGCGGCCCTCGACGATGCGGGTGTCGGGGCGTCCGAGATCTCTTTTGTCGAGTGCCATGGCACCGGCACGCCTCTGGGCGACCCCATGGAGGTCCGCTCGCTGCACGCCGTCTTTGCCAAGGCTGCTCGCACCGCGCCGCTGGTGCTGGGTGCCGTCAAGACCAACGTCGGCCACTCGGAGGGCGCGTCGGGCATCGCCGGCCTCATCAAGACTGTCCTGGTGTTGCAACATGGGCAGGTCCCGCCCAACCTGCACTTCAAGCAGCTCAATCACCACATCGCCAGCCTCCTCCAGGGCTTCCCCGTCCACTTCCCGGCCAAGGCCACCCGACTGGCTGCCGTTAAGGGGCAGAGGCTCAAGGCTGGCGTGCAGTCATTCGGCTTCGGTGGCACGAACGCCCACTGCGTGCTGGAGCAGGGGGACGGAGCATCGAGCACCAAGAAGCGTTCACAGCTGAGGGGAGATCGTCCTGTTGTCAGCTTCCTGTTCGGCGGAGAGGGCCATGCGCAAGTGGGCATGCTGCAGCAGCTCTACGAGACGGAGGACAGCTTTCGATCAGCACTCGACCGGTGCGACGGGATCCTGAGAAGCGCTGGTCAAGCGTCTCTTCTCACCACCCTCTACCCCACCCAGCCGCCCCTGCAGTCGTCAGCTCCCCCCTTGTCGTCGTCGCCAAGCAAGGATCAGTCCCACCCGCTGTCGCTGGACGATCCTCTGGTGGATTTCCCCGCCACCGTGTCCGTGGAGTATGCCCTGGCGGAGCTGTGGCGGTCGAGAGGTGTGATGCCCGATGTGGTTGTGGGACATGGGGTGGGAGAGCTTGCTGCCGCTGTTGTTGCCAATGTGATGCCACTGGATGCGGCACTCACCCTTGCTGTGGAGCAGGCGAAGCTCATCAAAGCGACAGACGTCTTCTTCTCATGCGGATCAGCCAAGGTGGCGGAGAGTGAGGAGTTCGTGGTCTCGCTGATCATGGATCTCAGCCTGCAGAACAGTGTGGGCGTCGCAGCGACCATTGACGGATGCTCTGTGGTGGTCAACGGCGACATCGACGGCCTGAAGACGCTCAAGCAGGCGCTCACTGAGTTGGATCCCCCCGTCCAGTGTGACATCGCTCCCTCCCTCCCATACCATTCTCCCGTCCTCGAGGCCGCTGCAGAGCAGCTGTCGGATACCATCGATCGGCTTCAAGACCAGCTGTCCGTGCCGTCGTGTTCGCTCGTGTCCACTCTCTCCGGCTTCATGGCCAACTCGGAGGTGGCCACGGTGGACTACTGGTGTCGGCAGTTCTACCAGACTGTACGATTCCGCGAGGCCATCAAGATGGTGGAAGACCTCAAGTGCAACATCTTCATCGAGATTGCTCCCCAAGCCGCTTTGACCGACTTGGCAGCCCAGTCAGTGAGCCGCGACTGCCGTGACGGTTCTATGTGGGTGCCCACGCTCCAGCCTTCAGTCGAGGGGACCAAAGACAGGAGGCCCTCTGTGAAGTTGCCACGCGCAGAGTCGTTCCAGTCGCTGGCCCGCAGAGTCCAGCAAGCTGTTCGGCGCACGTCATCGTCCGTCACATTCAACCGTCAGGCCTTCCCGTGGACCAAAACGGGCCATCCTCTCTTGTCGTCCAGGACTCACGAGCCCGACGGAATGACGGTGTACACGATGCAGCTGAGTCCCCGTCTCTTCGAGCTCTTCTCGCACCATGAGGTGGCGTCCAAGGCTGTCTTCCCGGCCGCTGGACAACTCGAGATGGTCGCAGCAGCAGCGCGACTGGATCGCCTGGTGCCAAGTGAGGACGCCGATCGCCCCTCGCTCTTCGACGACTGCCGTCCGGGATCACACCATCTGTGTGTCGAGCTGCATGACGTGTCCTTTGAGGCGCCCATCGTTATGGACGAGGAGGAAGGCACAATGCAGCCCCTGAGGTGCCAGCTCAAGGACGGCCGCTTTGCTATCACGACGATCAAGGTCACCGACGGAAGTGAGTTCATTCATGCGTCGGGATCCGTGGACGTCGCACTCGAGTCCCTTCACGATGACTTTCCCGTGTCCCACCACCAAGTCGACCCGAAGACTCTGCAGCAAGAGACGTGCACTGAGCCAGTCGACATCCCCCACTTGTACGAGGGCCTCCGAACCAACGGCCTCGTGTACGGCCCCCGCTTCAGGACCCTCAGGCAGGCCTGGGTGGGCACAGGCGACACGCGGGGGCAGGGCCTGGGGCTGGTGCGGCACGGAGGGGCTGGGCTGGAGCTGTTCGAGCGGCTGTTCGGCTTCCACCCAACCATTCTCGACGGCAGCCTGCATGTGGTGGCTTGCATCCTCGCAGCAGAGATGGCGCCGCCCAATGTGAAGGAGAGGGAGGATGCCGAGGACGACGACGGTGAGATGAAGCCCGCCACCCTGCACTACGATGGCATCTTCGTGCCCAGCTCCGTCAAGCGAGTGTCCATTGGGTCAGCCCCCCTCGGCGACAGTGTGTGGTCTCACGTGAGAGTGAGGCCTCAGGCGTCCGGGGACATCATGAGCCTCGACGTCACAACTCTCGTCGCAGATGTGACTCTTCTGACCGATAGCGGATCGGTGCTGGGCGAGATCGAGACTTTGACGCTGAGGAAGTTGCACAGCACGAGCAAGATCTCTTACGCCATGCCCAAGGACGCCCTGTGGACGGTAGCGTGGGTGCCTGTGCCTGACCCGAGTGACGCATCATTGGCACAGCAGCGGCATGGGCCGGATGCCAGCAGTCCCTCCCTCTCTCCGGCCCCTCCCCGCTATCTGTTGATCGGTCTCGACGACACTCAAGCCGCCCAGATCAAGGAGGACCTGCAGGGTGTGGTCGACATCGTTGCTGTGCCGGACTGCAAGACTGATGCCGACGTCGGCCGGGTGATGGCGACAGTGCGCGAGGGCAGCTTCAGCAGAATCATCTATGCGGCGGCACTCGTGCTTGGGGCAAGTGTTGTTGATGTGTTGGATGGAGCGTTGAGACTGGTCAAGGCCCTTGCGAGTGACGAGAGTGGTGACAGCTACGCGAGTGCCACACCCACATTCAGTCCCAGCACCCTACAAGACAACATCTCCCCTGCTGCGCCGCCAGTCCGCTCTCACACACCTCGTCTGATCCTCTTGAACCAAGAGTCCGATCCCGTGTCCGTCGGCGCACACATGGCTCCTGCCGGTCTGTGGGGCTTCACTCGGGCGGTCAACGCGGAGCTCGCCGGTGTCCTCGAAGTTGAGTGCCTTGACGTCAGCATCATGTCGCGGACGGACCACCACGACACATGGACAGAGGCACATGGCCTGACAGATGTCGCAAAGAGGCTCCGCAAGGGTGTGGAGGCGCTGGAGCACTCGGGCCAGCAGACCCTGGCGATCCGTCACGACAAGGCATTCGCCCCGCGCCTTGTCCGTCTTCTCGATGACCCCACGGGTGCTGTCGAGTGGTCGATGCAGCGGAGAGGGGCCCTTACCAATCTCAGAAGGCGGAAGCAACCTGTTGCCTCACGCCCACCTCCACAAGGCAGCCAAGTGGAGTTGCGTGTGTGCGCGGTTGGTTTGAATTTCCGCGACGTGTTGAATGTGATGGGACTGTATCCGGGCGACCCCGGGCCGCCGGGCAGCGACTGCTCGGGCATCGTCACGCGACTCGGACCAGACGTCACCGGCGCCACTCAGCACCATCCGCACTTCCGAGTGGGCGACGAAGTGCTGGGCATTGCGGCGGGCTGCCTCAAGACCTACGCCACGACGAGCTGCCTGCTGCTGACACACAAACCGATCAGTATGACCTTCGAGCAGGCCGCGGCGCAGCCCGTTGTCTTCACGACCGTGCAGCATGCCCTCGGAGACCTGGCGCAGCTCAAACAAGGCCAGAACGTCCTCATCCACGCGGCCACGGGCGGCGTCGGCCTCACGGCCGTCAACTACGCCAAGCGAGTCGGGGCGACCGTTTTCGCCACGGCCGGCAGCCAGGAGAAACAAGACTACCTGCGATCTCTCGGCGTCCAGCTCGTCGCCAGCTCCAGAGACCCGAAGGTGAGTCAGTCCATTGCATGAGGGTGTGGTATGAGACGGCTGTCATCCTCCTTGTGTGTTGCCTGCTGCTGCTCGTCAGGTGTTCCGCGATGCCCTCGTCTCGTGGACTGGCGAGCACGGCTTTGTCAACACGGTCCTCAACTCGCTGTCTGGCGACTTCATCAAGGCCTCCCTCGACGGCCTGCGGCAAGGCAGCGGCGGCACCTTCATCGAGCTCGGCAAGCGGGGCATCTGGACAGCGGAAGACGTCGCTGCCAAGTACTCACACGTCACCTACCATGTGGTGGCCATCGACGACACCATCGAGCAGCAGCCGGCGGACTTCCAGACCCTGTTGTCCCGCATCCACAGCCCTCTCGCCGACGGACAGGGCAGGTTGTCCGATCTGCCGCTGACTGAGTTCGATCTGGAGATGGAGGGAGTCGAGGCCTTCCAGTACATGCAGAGGGCCAAACACATCGGCAAGGTCTGCCTCCGACTACGGAGCTGCTTCGACCCACCGCCCCCATCGCCATCCCAGGCACTGCTGCAGGGCAAGAAGCTCCACGCGACACTTGAGGATCGTGTGTCGGACGTGTTGGATGGGTGTCAAGACCAAGTGTCAAGCTGGATCCAGGGCATGAAGGAGCTCGATGACATCTGTGTGAGCCTCGTCAACAATGCCCTGTCGCGGCTGTCCGAGAAGCAGGGCCGTGGGGACCGAGTCGAGGAAGCCACGCTGCAGCTGCTTCGCGCTCGGCTGTCTGCCATTGATTCCTCGACCGCCTCTGACCTGAGTCGCCCGCAAGGCACCGTCGCTGCTTCCGTGTCGTCTGTCGAAGATGTTCTGAGGAGGCACAGCGAAGTGGATGCCGAGGCAAAGCTGCTGCAGGCGGTCATGACGCGACTGACCGATGTCATCGACCAAGGCCAATCACCGTCAGCTGGAGGCCAGAGGGACACTGAGGGCGGTGCAAGTGCTGCCCAGCCTCAAGATGGCAAGGAGGGCCATCTCGTCGACGCGGCCTTGTCTCACGGGATTGAGGATTGTTTGGATGTTTCGCTGTTGACACACACTTGTTGCCGAGTGGCGGCACAGGCCATCAGGGCGATGGAGGATGCATGCTCGTCCGGCCGACATTTGTCGGTCCTCATTGTGGGCCACAGCGTCGGCCACGCCGTCCAGTCCCTCGTCCGCGAAGTGGCCGACCACAACGTCCGCATCACTGTCACCGACAGGGACTTGCCGTCGCTGCAGAAGGCCGCTGAGAAGCTTCGAGGCCTGCGGAACCTTTCGTTTGCCTTGCTGGATGTGTCAGAGGATCCACGGGCTTACGGCTTCGGCTCGGCTTCCTTTGAGGCCGTAATCACCGTCAATGCCATCCGGAGCGCTGAGGACTGTGACGCAGCGGTGCGACACCTGAAGGACCTCCTTACCGACAATGGTGCCCTCATCCTCACGGAACCAGGCCTCCTCGGGTCGCCTTTCACTGCCCTCACGATGGGTGTCTTCGACTCACACGCTACTCCACATCAGGACGGCCTGACGAGGGACTCGATTGAGGCAGTGCTGGAGAAACACGGCCTTGACGCCAGCCTGCCTGGCGGGCAGTCCCGACTCTTCCAGCAACAGCGCCTCATCCTTGGCGTCTCTGAGGTCCAGTCTCATGGTCCGCGGTCCACCTCTCCTGCGCATGCGCATGCGCCTGGGGAGTCGTGTTATGTGATCACCGGAGGATTCGGCTGCCTGGGTCTGTGGATGGCGCGGCACCTTATCGAGAATGGTGCCCGTCATCTGGCCTTCCTGTCCAGGAGCAATGCTCCAAGAGACGAGTACCGACCCGAGTGGGAGGCGCTCCAGCAGAGCAGCGTCACGATCGAAGCCATTCCATGCGATGTGACGGACGCAGGCAGCGTCAGTGCTGCAATGGAGCAGCTGATCGACGGCAACTCAAAGCAAAGGCCCCCCGTCAAGGGCGTGTTTCACCTTGCCGGTGCCCTGGCTGACGGCAGTCTGCAGAAACAGACGCGAGAGATGCTGCAGCTGGTCTTCGATGTCAAAGTCAAGGGAGCCCACAATCTGCACGAGGCGCTGCAAGGCCTTGACGTCGAGTTGGACCACTTCACGGTGTTCTCGTCCATCACTGGTCTGTTTGGGTCCCTCGGCCAGTCCAACTACGCCGCGGCCAACTCGTGTCTTGATGCCTTCATGGCCTACAGGCGATCGACGGGCTTGTGCGGGCAGAGCATCCAGTGGGGCCCCGTGGCGCAGTCGGCAATGGCGGGCAGCAAGCGAGTGGAGGAGCTGGTCGCACTACAGGTATGCACACACGGATGCATCAGCCAGCCAGACACACACACACACACACACTCACACACATGCATTTTCTTTCCTGCGTGCAGGGGCTGAAGCTGATCGAGAGGCATGTGTTTGAGAGGGGTTTCTATGCAGCCGTGCGCACCGGTGTCCCCCAGGTGTGCATCGCCCTCATCAACTGGAGGGCCGAGGCGTTCGCGCACCGGCCGTCGGCCTTCTTTGATGCCTTCCGCTTGAGTGACAGTGTCGACGCCTCGTTCCACCAGCGACAGACAGACGGTATGCTGACCGGCGACATGGATCCCATCGCCCTGAAGCTCAGCCGCATCCCTGAACCGGAGCGCAAACAGTGGCTCCAGTCCGTGGTGCTTGACGCCGTCGAGAAGAGCAGCAGCGTCCGGCCGTCTCTCTCCCTGCCTTTGATGGAGCTGGGCATCGACTCCCTTGCGGCAGTGGAGCTCCGGAACGAGCTGTCCCGACGGCTGGGCATACGCCTGCCGGCCACCCTGCTCTTCGACTTCCCCACCGTCGGGCAGATCGTCGACTTTGTGTATGAGGAAGCCATGAAGCAGCTCCACGACGGCATCGCCGAGAAGAGCCCTGGTCAGGCCGCTCTAGGTGGGCTGGACAAGGGCTCTGGTGCCGATGCCTTGGTCATCAGTGGGATGGACTGCCGGATGCCGGGTTGCGAGGAGTCGCCTGGCGGCTTCTGGCGTCTGTTGGTCGACCAGGTGGATGCAGTGCGGCCAGTGCCGCTGAGTCGGTGGGACATGGACGAGATCTATGACAGCAACATGGAGGCGGACGGCCGCAGCTACTGCAAGGAGGCCGCCTTCGTGTCACACGCTGAGCTCTTCGACATGGGCTTCTTCGGCATATCGTCAGCTGAGGCCGAGACCATGGACCCGCAACAAAGAGTCATGATGGAGGTCGGCTATGGCGCGTTGCATACGGCCGGCTATCGGCAGCAGAGCGTCTCGGGAAGCAACACCGGGGTCTTCATCGGATGCTGCGGCTACGACTGGAGCTACCGACTGGTCGACGCCAAGTCGATTGGCACCTACACCGGCACCGGCGTCGCCGTGTCGATCCTAGCTAACCGCATCTCCTTCGCGCTTGGCCTTCGCGGCCCCTCATTGACTATCGACACGGCCTGTTCATCGTCCCTGGTAGCTCTCGACGCTGCCTGTCAAAGTCTGCGGTCACACCGGTGCCGCACCGCCCTGGTGGGCGGGGTGCAGCTGATGCTCAGTGGACAGGGGCTGGTGGTCTTCTGCAAGTCCAAGATGATGTCACCCAGCGGCCGCTGCAAGACATTCGACGCCAGTGCCGACGGATTTGGCAGAGGGGAGGGGTGCGGGGCTGTCGTCGTGGAGTCCATGCACTCCCTCACTGACCGGGCGGCAGGAAGACATGCCCTAGCCATGGTCCGTGGCTCAGCAGTCAATCAGGACGGCCGGAGCGCGACGCTGATGGCCCCCAACGGCCCAGCACAGCAGGACTGCATTCGCCGAGCCCTCCAGGACGGCGACGTGCGGCCTGAAGACGTGGTATTCATTGAGACCCACGGGACGGGCACGCAGCTCGGCGACCCGATGGAAGTGGGCGCGCTCAAGGCTGTATTGGTGGACAACCACAGGTCGAACCATCAGCCGCTCTTCCTCGGGTCCGTCAAGAGCAACATCGGGCATCTTTTCGGGGCTGCAGGCATTGCAGGGCTCATCAAGACCATCCTGGTGTTCCAGCACGGCCAGGTGCCACCCAACGTGCACCTGAAACAGCTGAGCCCCCACCTGGACTTCGACAGTGTCATCACGCTGCCGACGGGGATGGCTGCACTCCCCACGTACCCGGAGGACAGCGGGCGGAAGTCGATGGGCGGCGTCTCGTCATTCGGCTTCGGCGGGACCAACGCACACGTCATCATCTCTGCAGCAGCCGACGGCCCGCGTGACGCAGCAGCACTCACCGCCTTGGTACAGGAGAGGCACATCTTCCTCAATCGGACGTCGTTGCCGTGGACCGACGTGTGGCATCCCTTCCTCAAAGAGAAGGCTGCACGGGACGGCCGTACGGCTTACCTGTGTCCCGTCGACGCCAAGGTGTTTGGTGTGGTGTGCGACCACGTCATTCTGTCCCGCATCATCTGGCCTGCGGCTGGCTACCTCGAGATGGCGGCGGCGGTTGCACGCGACGCAGATCGCAAAAGGAGGAGGAGCGGCGTCGTCACGCTTGAGGACGTGAGCATCGACAACCCGCTGCTGCTCAGAAGGCCGCCAGATGACACGGACAGGCAAGCCACCTGGACTGGGCCCGTGCTGTCGTGCGACATCGATCCAACCGATGGTGCTTTCGAGATGACCGCCAGTGACGAACATCTGGTGGCGGGGAGAGCCCTCATGGATGAGACTGAGGGCGCCGGGCTGGCGGATATCCCTCCACTCCAAGAGATCCGCCAGCGGCTGACGACCGAGATATCCCCCCATCACTTCTACTCGACCGTGGCAGAGGCGGGGTTGCAGCTGCAGCGGAAGTTCCAGGTTCTGAAGGAGCTGTACTGGGACCCTTCTTCACTAGAGGTGCTGGGGCGGGCAGAGGTGGACACCGATTTGCACCTGGGCACGTCCTTCGAGAGCTCCTTCGGCATCCACCCCGCCCTACTGGACGGCACACTGCAGCTGCCCGCCATGGGCATTCTCGCCACCCCCGAAGGCCACACCCCTGACTTGTTTGTCCCTGCTGGCATCAAGACGGCCACCATCTCGTTCAAGACGCAGCCGCATTCGCGAACGCTCTGGTCCCATATCAAGGTCGGTGCCCGCGACACGGAGAAGGGCACACTGGACATCCAGATGACCGTGTGGGATGGCGAGGGCAGGGCCGTGGCTGCCTTCCAGCACTTCACGTACCAACAGGTCAAGATGGGACGGACCATGCAGCAGGCCGCCATCCGAGAGCTCCGAGAGACGACCACACTATGGCAGGTCGTCTGGGAACCCCTCAAGGATGGCACCCAGACCAGGAACACAGAGGACGAGGCAGCTCCAGCAGATCCATCAGCGGAGAAGGGCCACGCTGATCGACCTGTCCTTCTTGTCCTCAGCTCATGCTGTGATCTGGGAGATGCACCACCTCTGCCCGTGGGAGTGACGACGGTCCACCTCACAGCATCTGACAAACATGGGGGCTACCGCGAGCAGGTGCAGCCCTTCCTGGTGCAGTCGAGCGACAAGTGGAGGCAATGGGAGGCTGTCATCTTCTCCCCTGGCCCACCCAGCAGCTCGGACAGAGCCACCATGGCGGCGACAGAGAAGATGGTCCTGTACGAGGCCATCCAGGTGGCGCTTTCGCTCTCAACCAGTACTTCATCCGAAGGCGGCAAGGAGAGCCAGGGACAGCACAACGCAGCCCTGTTCATCGCCGCCGCAGGCGCACTCCACGGACTCAGCGGCGCGGAACCGCACGAGCCAGTTCATGCCGGTCTGTTGGGTGGCCTCGCCCGCTCCCTCCGCCTCGAGCTGCCCCAGCTGTCGATCCACACGGTGGGCTTCGACAGGCAGACATGCACTCTACCTCTCATCGTGGACAAGGTTCGGGAGCGGATCGATGCCGGCCTGTCTGTGGAGTCTGAGCTTGCATGGGGGGACCAGCAGTGGCGAGTGCCCCGGCTGGCCAGCGGGGCGCAGCTGCTCCACAAGGGCGGGGGGATTAAGTGCACTGGGGCCACCCTGCCGGAACTGAGGGTCGAGCCACTGCTCGACAAGGAGCGGAGGGCACCGGAGGGCGCAGATGGAGAGGTCGAGATCCGAGTGCGTGCCGTATGTCTTGTCAAGGACGATGGTGGTCTCGGTGGGGCGACGGGCAAAACCGTCGCAGGAACGGTTGTGGCTCTTCCAGACCTTCCAGACGACGGCTTGGCTGACAACAGGCTGCAGGTTGGGGATGATGTCTTCGGCTTCGTCCCCAGCGGTGCCCTTCGGAGCTACGTGACGACACATGCAACGCTGCTGGCCAAGGTGCCCCCCCAACACCAGCTGTCCTTCGAGCAAATGGCCGCTCTCCCTGCTGCATTCGCCATCACCGACACTGGGCTGAGGGACCTGGCCCAAGTCAAGTCTGGGCATAAGGTGCTCATCACGGAGGCCGCAACCGACGTGGGTTTGGCGGCGATTCAGTACTGCCGTCGTGTGGGTGCGACGGTGTATGCGACGGCTGGGAGCGCCGAGAAGCAGCAGTACCTGCGGTCTCTGGGCGTCGAGTACGTGACGAGCACGCGAGACGTCAGCCGCTTCAAGACCGACATGAGGGCCTTCCTCGGCGTCCCTCGAGAGGGCGGCGGTGCATTGCCGACCGATGGCGATGCCGGCCTCGACGTCGTCCTCAACTGCCTGTCGCAGGGATCCAATGAAGAAACGTCAATGGAGTTTCTGCGAGCGGGAGGGTGCGTTGTGGACTGCGGGAATGACAGTCGCGACGGAGAGAGTGGTCGCCGACCTGACGTTCGTTACCACAGACTTGCCTTCGCTGACCTTCTCGGCAGTGATTCTGGTGTGCTGCGGCAGAAGCTCGATGAGCTTCAGCAAATGCTGAGCGATGGTCGCCTGCAAGCCCTTCCGCTGCGTGCCTTCGACGTCGACACCAACCAAGCGACAAAGAACGGGCGCTCGGGGGTTGCTGCCGCATTCCAGTGCCTGCAGGAAGCACAGCACATAGGCAGCGTCATCGTGCGCTTCCCAACGTGCTTCGGTTCCTCAAGGATGTTACACGGCGGCTCCCTCAATGGTGTTCACGTGATAACAGGTGGTGTGGGTGGATTGGGTTTGGTGGTTGCCCGTTGGCTGGTGAGTGAGGGCGTCAAGTCGATAGTGCTCGTGTCGCGCAGGGGCGCCCCGCCGGCCCAGACCGACGCCAAGACCGGAGAGCCCAACCCCCTCTACACACACTGGCAGTGGCTCACACAATCGGCCGCAAACGTCACAATCAAGAAGGCAGACGTCAGCAACATGGAACACGTGGACTCCTTGGTTGCTGAGTGTGCCAGCGACGGCATGCTTGGAGGGATATGGCATGCTGCGGGGGTCCTTGCGGACGCGCCTGCAGCTGACCAGACCCTCGAGATGATCGGGCGGGTCTTCGACCCGAAGGCTCTCGGTGCGTGGAACTTCCACGATTCGATGGCCAGGCAGGGCGCTGAGTGCGGCTGCCTCATGGCGTTCTCCTCGGTCACTTCCGTCCTCGGAAACTTTGGGCAGGCCAACTATGCGGCGGCCAACTCGTGCCTCGACGCCTTGATGCACTACAGGGCAACGGTCGCTTCCATCCAGCAGCAGACTGGCATCTCTGCAGACACGCCTGGCGTGGCCGCTGAGGAGCCCCCAGGCGTCCCTTGCTGCATCAACAAGAGCATCCAATGGGGAGCCTGGTCCGAGCAGGGCATGGCCCTTGGCACCGTCGATGAGAGGCGGCTGAAGGCCATCGGGATGCGGGGGATCACCAACGAGATGGGACTGCGGATCATCGACACCCTCATCCGCTTCGCTGACCCGATGCCATCCGCGTCAGTGACCCTGGCGCAGCCACTGGACCTGCCCCAATTCCTCAAGGCGAGAGATCACGTGCCTGCACTGTTCGTGAACCTCGCCCCGAAGAGGCAGGAGGGCTCTGGGAAGACCAAGCGCATCAGTGGTTTCGAGAACATGTCCGCCGAGGACAGATTGCAGTTCGTGCAGACGACAGTGTCGCAGGCAGCGAAGGATGTGTTGAGCATGCAGGCGGACGAGATGCCCTCCCCGGACACTCCTTTAGGGGAGCTGGGCCTCGACAGCCTCTCGGCCGTCGAGTTCAGGAACAGGATCAACGAGCAACTGGGGGTCAAGCTGCCGCCCACCGCCATGTTCGACTTCCCAACCATCACAAAGCTGGTCGAGTACATCTACGAGGAGGTGTCCCCCGCAGAAGGCACAGATGCGGCCGCAGCTGCCGATACCCAGCTGGCGGATCGGCAATTGCAGGACCAATCTGCAGTGGGGGTCGGGTTTGCGATCACGGGCATGTCGTGCCGCTTCCCGGGTGGCAGCAACTCGATAGCCGCCTTCTGGCAGGCACTGATGGACAAGAAGGATGCGGTAATCCCCATCCCCTTCTCGCGTTGGGACGGTGACGTGGTCTACAACCCCGACATGGACTCGGACGGCCGGTCGTCCTACACGCGCATGGCCTCCTTCCTCGACCACCCGGAGCGATTCGACTGCACCTTCTTCGGCGTCAGCCGAGACGAGGCGTGGTACCTCGACCCGCAGCAGCGCCTCATGCTCGAAGTCGGATACGAGGCCCTCGACCAGGCCGGCCACGACAAGTACGACCTGGCAGGGGAGATGATCGGGTGCTTCATCGGCGTGTGCAACTCTGACTGGGCGGGGGTGATGAGAGGGACCAAGGCCACGGCCTACACGGGCACAGCGGTGGCCCTGTCCCTCTGTGCAAATCGCGTGTCATACACCCTGGGCTTGAAGGGCCCCAGTATGTGCTTCGACACGGCCTGCTCGTCGGCTCTGGTGGCATGCGATGCGGCCTGCCTTAACCTCCGCGGCGGCCGATGCTCAGAGGCACTAGTTGGCGGAACACAGGTCAGGGAAGTGAGGCAAGTCGGAGGGATAAGCATTAGGAGGCACCCATTGTCTCCTCTTGGATGTAGGTGTTGAGCACGACCCAGACATTCGTGGCCTTTTCTCAGTCCAAGATGCTGAGCCCTGACGGCCACTGCAAGACCTTCGACGCAGGCGCCAACGGCTTCGGCAGAGGCGAGGGCACGGGAGCTGTCGTCCTCAGCCGACTGGCCGATGTCGAAAAGGAAGGTCGCCTTATGTGGGGCATTCTCAGAGGCGCAGCGGTCAATCAGGACGGCCGCAGTGCCACTCTGATGGCACCCAATGGCCCTTCCCAGCAGCAGGTCCTGAGGATGGCTCTCGCTGAGGGCCGAGTCGACCCACGTGACGTCGCCTATATCGAGGCACACGGGACCGGCACCGTCCTTGGTCAGACCAACACACCACACGCGCTGGCATACATTCAGACGGAACACATACACACGTGGATGCATCTCCGCAACGTCTGCAAACTTTCCTTCAGGTGATCCAATCGAGCTCGGTGCCTTGCAGACTGTCCTTCCCAGACGGTCCCCCGGGGCGCCCCCCCTGGTGATAGCTTCCGGCAAGACCAACATCAACCACCTTGAGGGGTCGGCAGGCATTGCAGGTCTCATCAAGTTGGTTCTGGTGCTTCAGAACCAGATCGCCCCCGCCAACATCCACCTCAAAGCCCTCAACCCGCTCATCGGAGTCGAAGAGTGGGACGTCGTCTTTCCCACGGAGTGCATGCGACTGACGCCGACGCGACACGACGACAATGGTGCAGCCACCCTGGTAGGCGGCGTATCGTCTTTTGGCTTTGGCGGCACCAACAGCCACGCCGTGGTTGAGTGCGGCAAGGCCAACACCGCCCTGCCCTTCCACCAACGGCCCAAGAGGACCATCGCCTTCCTCTTCACTGGCCAGGGCTCGGAGTCCGTGGGCATGTGCCGACAGCTGTACCAGAGAGAGGAGGTCTTCCGCACAGCCATCAAGCGATGCGCGGCCATTCTGGACAAGCTTCTCCCTGAGCCCCTCATGGCCGTCCTGTACCCGGATGTGCCCAAGAAGGAGATCGACGAGCGCACCAGCCAGCTGAAGGCGTCGCGGTATGCCCAGCCCTGTCTGTTTGCCGTGGAGTATGCCATGTGTGAGCTGTGGCGGTCCAAGGGCGTCACTCCTGACGCTGTCATCGGTCACAGTCTGGGCGAGTACGTGGCGGCCGTCGTGGCCGGCGTCATGAGCCTGGAGGACGGCATCTTCCTGGTGGCTGAGCGGGCCAGACTCATGGCGGAGCTCCCAGAGCAGGACGGCGCCATGGTAGCAGTACGGGCATCTGAGGAAACCGTGCGCCAGCTCATCGACAAGGAGGGGGCAGGCCAAGAGGTGCAGATCGGCGCCATCAACGGGCCGAAAAGTGTCGTGTTGTCCGGGAAGAGAGAGGCTGTGTATCGGGTGCTCGACACGGACAAGTCCCTCAGCCGGACTGAGCTGGACGTCACTCGCGCCTTCCACTCGCGCCTCATGTCCGACATGTTGGCGCCTTACGAGGAGGCCCTGGGGAGTGTGGAGCTCTCCCAGCCATCAAATGGCGTGACATTCGTGTCGACTCTGACGGGCAAGCCTGTCAAGGAGGAGCTGTGCTCGACTGCTTACTTCACGCGACAGATCATGGAGCCGGTGCGGTTCCAGGACGCCATCACAGCTGCGGCGACCTCCGTTGGGTGCGATTTGTTCCTGGAGGTTGGCCCCACACCCACACTCACTCGGCTGGCGGAGAAGATTCTGGAGACGAGCAGCGCCACCCCAGCTCTGATCGCGTCCATCAGTTCCAAGGACAGGGAGGCCCCACACAGCGCCTGGAACAGGACCTATGGCCAGGTGATGAGAGAGCAGGGCATCATCAAGGAGAGGGTGGTACTGCGGCCCAAGGAGTTCCCCTGGGGTCAGCCACGCCACCCCATGGTCGAACAGACCATCGCGGTCGCCAACTCGTTCTCGCAGAGGAGCGTCATCTACGCCACCAGCCCCCACGGCAGGCCGCAGCCGCTAATCAGGGACCACCTCACACAGAATGAGCGCATCTATCCGACATCCTTCCTCGTCGAGGCGGCTATGGCCGCGTACGCCCTCTCACAAACAGCACTCGATGAGGAATTCGGTGTGCGGTCGTACCTCGCGGAGGACGCCTGTGTGTGCGCCATGAACCTGCGAATCGCCCAACACCCTTCAGTCGAGACGCCTCAGCCTGGCCCGTCTCCCTCTCTCGCTCTCGGGGAGACCAGCGACGCCAAAGACGAGGCCGCAGCACAGCCAGCGGCCACCCCCGAGGTGTGGCCGACGCTGCCGTCCTTCCCCATCGACGTGCAGCGAGGCGGCACGGTTGTCATCAGAAGAGACGGATCTAGTCAGGACTCCGACACAGAACAGGGCATCCTCACTGCCGAAGTCAGAGTCGACGAGAGGGTCCAGGAGGACGCAGGGGTGCATATCGGCTCGCTGGCGTCTCGCTGTCCGATCCACGTGGCTTCCGGTGACTTCTACGCGCTTCTTGGGTCCCTCGGCACAGGCGTTGGGAAGGCCTTTGCCCTTGCGTCAGGCATTCGGTACGGCGAGAGGGTGATCACAGCAACATTGAGACTTCACGAAGCACGCGACGATCATGAGGCCTTCGAGGAGGGGTTCCTCTTCCACCCCGCATTCCTGGAGAGCGGCTTCCACCTGACAGCCTTCCTCATGGCGGTCACAGAGCTGGGGGTGGATCCGCAGAAGCCAGCGAGTGCGACGCCTGTAGGGTACCTCCCGAGGTCTGTGGCGGAGGTCATGATCACCAACATGCCCCTCTGCGAAGGCACCGATACTGAGCTGCTCATCTGTGTGCAGCTGGATGCCCTGTCCGGGCGTGCCGACATGCACTTGTATCGCCGCGAAGGCGGGTGTGTGGCGTCCATGAGGGGGATTGAGCTGCAGCCCTACAAGGCCACAGTCGAGGAGAGTCGCGCGGTGGATGCCCTCTGGGATGTCGATTGGGTCTCGCATCCGCATTCACCTGCAGCTGTTGAGAGCAGCGGCGGTGCACCGAAGGATGATTGGGCTTGTCTGATCTGGGTCAGTGATTCCGAGACGGCGGAAGAGGTCACAAGCGTTCTGCCGCCGTCATCGCCACACCAAGTCGTGAGTGTATCGGACAAGGAGGCCATGGAGTCGGCTCTCTCACGGCCTTGGGGCGGCATCGTCTGTGCCCTGGGGCTGCAGACCTCACTCGACGATGTCTCTGCGCTGGCCAGCTTGGGCGAGCTGCTGAGAGACCTCTTCTTGTCGCCTCGGCGCGCCATGGACAAGAGCACAAGCAACCGACGAGAGGTCGCGTCGCTGTACGTCCTGACGTCAGGCGTCCACATGAGGACGCACGACTCCATCGACTGCTTAGCGAGCTCCATGTGGGGCTTCCTGCGCAGCGCACGAGTGGAGATCGGCTTGGCAGTGCGCCTGTTTGCACTTGACGTCGATCGAGACCTGACACTGAAAGAGCCACAAGCCATTCTTGACCGTGCGCAGCAAGCACAGCGGATGTTGCAACCTCGCGGCGCAGCGGATGACGAGCAGCGCTATGAGGCTGAGATGGCCGTACGTGACGGGCAGTGGTACGTGCCGCGCATTGTGCCCTACGGGAGCACTGCAAGTCGGCTGGCGGCTCCGCGACAGTGGTGCTTTACGGCGGACAGAAAGGACAAGGGGCAGGCTGTCTTCTCTGGACAGACGGCGAGTGCCGCCGTGTCGGCGATGCCGTCGTCGGCTGATGGCGATCCGCGAGTGGAGGTGCGAGTGGTCTCATTCGAGATCAGTCCTCAAACTGTTAGCGCACACCTGGAGAAGGATGGACGCACCACCACCACCCACCATGCGGCAACATGGCCTTTCTGCGGCATTGTCACCGGCACATCTGCGCCGTGTGGCTTCAAGATCGGGGAGCGTGTTGTTGGAGTCACCCAAGGGCCCTTCGCGTCACATCTGCTTGTGGACGCCAGAGCCATAGGTCGACGCCCGCCTCTCGTGTCGGATGAGGTGGCGGCCGCAGCTGTGATGCCCCTCCTCGCGGCCGCCAAGTGCGTTCCCACCGCTGAGCAGACACAAAGCCATCCACGGACTGCCGTGGTGGTGTTGCGAGCTGGCGTGTTGAGTGTAGCGGCACGCGCAGCCCTTCAGACACTGATGGTGGGCAAGTACAAGACACTCGTCAGTGTCGAGGACCGGCAGGATGCGGACGCCCTCACTGCGTGGCCTGACGTGGACATCTGCGTCGCCAAGACCTCTACCGAAGTGGCTGACGGCGTGAAGAAAGCGTTTGGTACTGCGGCTGAGGTCGACCTGATCGTGGCGCCTGATGGCGAAGAGGATGAGGAGGCTCTGACAGAGCTGAGGAGGCTTGTCAAGCCACCTGGCGCCGTCATCAACGGCGTGGACAGTTCCTGGGAGGCGGGACCAGTGTCCTGTGAGGCTTTGGCGACGGTCGGTGACATGCTGTCGGACTCCTCATGGGAGCAGCATCGTGACAACCTGGATGTGAGGAATGTGAAGGACATGGAGAACCAGGCCGCGGAGAGTCTGTTCGTTGCCGGCAAGCAGCTCGTAGCGAAGCTCCCCACCGCGTTGGCATCAGACGGGCGTCCGCGAGGCTGTCACGTCATCACGGGAGGCCTCGGTGAGTTGGGACTGGTCGTGGCTCGGTGGCTGGTCAAGGAGGGAGCGGAGGCCATCGCCCTCCTGTCTCGACGGGGGCGCCTTGCCCCACAGTCTGGCGAGTCTCTGCGGGAGCACGTGGCGTGGCTTGAGGCGTCGGCTGCACAGGTGGTGCTCAGGCGCTGTGATGTGAGTCGCGAGAGGGACGTCAGGACGACAGTTCAGGCGCTGTCAGAGGAGTTCGCAGCTCGGGGCGGCGTTGCAGGCGTCATACACGCGGCAGGCATACTGGCGGATGCGACTTTGCGCAACCAAACAAGGGAGTTGATCGACACCGTGTTCAGACCCAAGGTGAGCCTTCACCTCAGTCAGATACACACGAGGTGGTGAAGGCAATCCTTCATCTATCTCATCTGTCGTTCGTGTTGGTGTACTGTCAGGTTCATGGCGGGTGGAACATGCACAGATCGACCATCGATCTGGGCGTCGACCTCAAGTACCTCGTGTGTTTCTCGTCGGTCACGGCCCTGCTCGGCAACCTGGGCCAGACCAACTACTCGGCGGCCAACGCCTGTCTGGACGCCTTGATGGCCTACCGCCGCCACCTCGGCCTGAGCGGACTGAGCATACAATGGGGCGCGTAAGTGATGCAGACAGAAAGACATACATACATGAGCTTTGCCGAAAGTGTTGGTTGGGACGTCATGGTTCGTGCTGCGTGTTGCTGCGTGATTCAGGTGGACAGAGCAGGGTATGGCCTCACGGGCGAGCAACCTGGCCATACTGCAGGCAGTCGGCATCGCCCCGCTCGACAACGACCTCGCACTCCGCAGCCTAGCCAGTCTCCTGCCGTCGACCACTCACCCAGTGGTGGCTGTCCAAGAGATTGACTGGAGGCGCTTCGCACTCAACCTTGACGCAGCCACAGGGCTGTTCAGTCGGGTGTGCCCTCCACAGGCGAAGCGTCAGGCAGGGCGGTCTCGAACCGGCCAACGCCAACATGCCCAGAGAGAGGCCATGGGCGCCGCGCAGGATCAAGAGGCACTGGACGCTTCACTCCAAGATCTGGGCATCGGCGGCGGTAGGAACCGCACATACGCACTGTGAAGCGGCACACTCAATTATCACCTGGTATATTCGTTGCTGCTATTTCGTTCGTTCAGGCGACTCGTCCGGGAAGCCCCAGATGCGGAGTGCTGAGTTGGACCGCATCCGGGCGCTGCCTGCTGCGGAGCGGCGGCGTGTGGTCGAGTCAGTCGTGCTGTCGATTGCCGAGGAGGTCCTGGCGGTCTCAGAGATGCCCCCCATGGACATGCCGCTCCAGGAGCTGGGCATCGACTCGATGGCTGCTGTCGAGCTCAGGAACGCCCTGTCCAGACGGCTGGGGGTCAAGCTGCCTCCAAATGTCCTCTTCGACTTCCCGACCATCGAGGACATCATCACATTCGTCTTGGGGGACCTGCTGGCAGACGATGGAGATCAAGACGGCAATGGCGCGGCCGCCTTCCAGGCACACGCTTCTGCGGCTGTCAGGCGGCAACGGGCTGAGCTGGAGAGCGACATCGGCCTTCCCGGCACCATCAGCCTGGACGGCCGTCGCATCATATCTCCGCAGGGCCCAGACGGCACCTTCAGGAGCGTTTTCCTGACAGGGGCCACTGGCTTCATGGGCACCTGTCTTCTGGACTCACTCTTGAGGCGCAACCCGTCCGTGACTGTCTGGTGCCTCATCCGGTGCAAGGACGAAGCACACGGATGGGACAAGCTGGCCAAGCAGCTCGCCGCCTATCGGCTGCCCACCGACGGGTCTCTTGAGGACGTCAAGCAAAGAGTAGTGGTGGTCAAGGGGGACTTCACCGAGGACAATCTTGGCATGACGGACGAGAGGTGGCAGGAGGTCGTCGAGAGCGTCGAGGCCATCTTCCACTGCGGCGCCATGGTCAACTTCTCGGCCACCTACTCGATGCTCCGGAAAGCCAACGTCCTGTGCGTCAAAGACGTTCTCAGGCTGGCGACGTCCCTGCCGACCCACGTCATTCCAGTCCACCACGTGTCGACGCTCGGCGTGTTCCACGACAACCTCCACGATATCCCCACCGCCCCTCTGCGGAACGGTCAGCCAGACACCACTCGCAACTGGTGCCTTGACAACGGTCGCCGCGTCTTCTTCGAGGACGACCCGGTGCTCGAGGACGATCTCTCGAGCCAGCACCACATCAAGCTTGCCCTCGGCTACTCCCAGTCCAAGTGGACGGCCGAGCGAGTGCTGCGTATCGGCCAGGAGAGGCGCCTGCCGATCAGCATGTATCGACCAGGCCGCATCGGTGGCCACTCGAGGACGGGCGCGGTGAACCCGACGGACTTCCCGAATGCGTTCGTCAAGGGCTGCATCCAGATGGGGACCATTCCTGACATCGACGTGCCGGTCCACCTGGTGCCCGTCGACTTCTGCGCAGATGCTGTGGTGCACATAGCCATGAAGGCCGAAGGAGCGGGGTACCAGGGGGGCCCTTACAACCTCGACAACCCCCACGTCACCACCATGCACGACATAGCAGAGGCTGTGGGCAGCCTGGGGTATTCGTTGTCCTTGGTGCCATACACTGAGTGGCGCAAGGAGCTCGGCAAGGAGATCAGTGACAATGCGGCGCACCCCCTGGCGCCGCTCGAGCACATGCTCGTCGACGAGCCTCCCAACGTGTGTGACGTGCCCTTCTTCGACATGACCAACACTTGGTGAGCAAACCACACATGTCAACACAAGAAACACACACGAGTGGGCAGCGCCGGATTTCCTCTTTCCGTCGTACGCACAGGTCCGCCGTATCTGACGACGAGAGCATCGTGTGTGTGCCTTCGTCAGTGGAGTATCTGGAGGTCAACCTCCGATATCTCCGCGACGTGGACTGGCGCACATCGATGCCATCGGTCGGACTGGGCGGCTCCCTGGAGCTGGAGGCATTTGTCAAGGACCTTGGCAGCGGAGAGGCAGTGGCGGCCGACAAGGAGCTCTACCTGATCGCTGGACCGGCCGTACTCGAGCAGTACTTCACCGGTACGATTCGTGCGATACATACAGGGACAAACAACCAACCAGTACTCCATTAGATGCACCCACTTGCCTCCGTATTCAATGTCTGCCTGTCCGTCTGTCTGTCTGTTGAGTGCAGATCTGAGCTACACGCTCTCCCTGAGGGGCTACAAGCTGCTCCTGCTCCAGCTGCCCGCCGAGGCCACTTCGCCGGACGCCCCATCTGACGGGGCCTCCCTGACGTCTTCGCTCCCCTTCCTGAGCAGCGTCACCAATCTCGCCGGTGTCCTGGTCGCTGCCTTGAGGCGGAGGAGGAAGGACGGACCCTTCAACATCATCGGCTGGTCTTTTGGAGGTAAATAGGAGGGGGAGGCCCAATCATGGCCTGGCCGAAGCCATGCACCGACCAATGTGGTTGTCTGTTGCCTGTTTGTCTGTGTTTCGTGCAGCTCTGGTGGCCATTGAGGTGGCGAAAATCCTCAACCGCCGCACCGACGACAACTCGTGTGTCCCCGTGCTGTCGCTCATCGACCCCCTGGTGCCCATCTCGCTGTCCGCCTCGGCGGCCACCCAGGCGCCCTATTCCTTTGCTCTGTCGGTCATTCTGTCGACGGTGGTGGGCATGTTCAAGGATGTCCTCCCTGAGGACTTCGATCAGCTCCCTGTGGACCAGCAGCAGCACATGCTCATGGAGCTCGTCGCTGAGGCCACCGGGGCCAACATCGCAACAGCCACAACAGACGTGGCAGAACAGCAGGAGGGAGCGACTACCAGTGCCGGTGCTGAGAATGACTTCCTGCGACAGCAGGCCGACTTGGTGTCGGCTGTCCTGGGGGCTGGCGCGCAGCACGCGGCTAAGGGGCCGCATTACGACGGCAAGACACACATCATCGACACACCGGTACGCATGCCAAACTGCGAGTCGATATCGAACACATTGTACCGAGCCGACACAAAATATCGTGCTTTCCTTTCTGCAGTGCCCGAGTCCATTTCCTCCGTCGAGTGGGATGGCCGTCGTGGCGGCCCCCTCTGTGGTGGCTCTGGGCAGCATGAGCATGACACACACTCTGCTGCCCGGCGGGGGTCACTTCAACTGTCTGCGTGACCCGCATGTCGACCCCCTGGTGGATGCGCTGCTGGAGAAGCTCACTGCTGTCGAGTGAGACAGAGATGTCTTTCGTCTGACTGCTGAGTTCATGGGTGTGATGTGTGTATGGCGAAGGCTCGACACTGGTTTCTTGTCTATTTGGGTGTGTGTTGGTTCGTGCGCTATGGCAGTAAGTAAGACGTCCGTCGTAGGCGATGATGTGGGGTGGGGTGGGGTGGGAGGGTAAGTCTTTCTGTTCGGTGTGTGGATTCAGTCCGCTAAGGATGATATGATGTCTCTCTCTCTCTCTCTCTCTCTTAAGGAGGTTCATTTGTGCTTGTGCGGCATAAGGTATATGAAGGTGAGTATCAAGACTGTAGGTCTGTCTCTGTGTGGCGCTAAGTCAGTCCAAAGCGTGCTTTCGACGTGTGCATGGCTGAATGGCTGAACGGCGTGGGTGGGTGCAGGTGCGGGTGTGGGTGATTGTCTTGTCACATATATACTATGTGTAGCTATACGTGTGTGTAGACACGCATTCATTCGTACGTAAGTACGCACATCGATCTGTATTTATGTATTTGTCAGTACGTCTTGGCATCTGTTCACACAAGTGCGTCCTTCCTAGGCACACTTTTTTCGTCTGGCTCTCTCTCTCTCCGTCTCTCTCTCTCTTTCTCTCTCTCTGTGTCGCCTCTGCAGCTGTGTACGTCACGAAGGTGTCTTCTTCCGATGCAATCGGAGGCCGGGGCCAGTCTGTCTATCTGTCTGTCTGTCTGTCTTTTGATGTGATGAGGAAGAAGCTATCGGTGAATGTGGAATGTGGAAGAAGGTCTAGCCATACAGCTGGCCTACGGCGAATGTGGAATTCCACACAAGAAGCGTATGCAGCAAGGCAAGGCGCGGCGCCTCAAGTAGGTAGCGTTCCTTCTGAATGTTGTCCTGTCTGTAGTCATTCACTAGCTCTCTGTATTGTCTGCCTGTCTATAATACCGGCCTGTTTATAATCCGTCTGTACGGTGGATTGATTGGGGCAGTTTTGGCTGTTGTGGTGGGGGGATTCTGCTCGACAGTTTGCGTCTGGTTGTCTACCAGTCTGTCTACCTGTGTGCGACCGACTATTTGGCAATGTATGTATGATGCGGGATGCGACAAAGGGATGTAATGATGCGATAAATGTGGACATGAACATATGAATGCCCGTCAGGGCGCGTTACGTCACATTCGTCGTGTCACACACATCAAATGCCTGCCTGCTGTGTCCCCACCCCACGGCTCCCACAGCACACGGCACGGCAGCCGTTGCAGTTTCCCAGACACTAGGTAGGTGAATTGTGGTTGGTGCACCTGCAGACGCAGTCCGTCCGTCATATGCGCAGACAGAGAAAGAAGCGAACCAGGCTAAGCTAATCAAGCATGGCAGCGAGAGAGCAGTACATACAATGATGTGTATACATACGTACGATGGACGAAGGGATGATGTGTATAGGGCCCGAGACATATCGATGTGTATATACACACACACATGCATATGGATGGATGGATGGACGGCCCAATATATACCAGACCACAGATGCATCATCCATGTGGATGGCCCACAGTCTTAATGAATGAATGCCCACGCCACAAGGGAAAAAGTCCTCAACGGCCCATCATCGCTCACACACACACACACACACATACCCATATATGGCACAACACACACAGCGCCCTCCACACAGCGCCCCACCCCCCCTTCCCCCTCGTCATGGGCAGCCACAGGCCATCTTGAGGGCTTGGAACTCCTCCATGATGCAGTCGAGGAGCATGTCGGGCGACTTGACCGTCCTGAGGTCGCTGCCAGCCGCCACCCACAGGCCGTTGCTGTAGGAGAAGGCCGTCACTCCCACACCCACGTTGCCCATGATGGGCGGAGCGAAGAAGCAGTGCCGCAGCGCGATGCCTTTCACAGGACTCAGACGCTGGGGACCTGCAAGCAAGACACACGACACACTGTATGTGTGGTTATCCCCCCCTGTCTGTGTCAGTTGTGCCTGCCTACCAGGGACATTGCTGACAAACATGCTGATCTTGCTCCGAATGGGCTTGAGTATCGCCTCGGCGAGGCACGATGGGCACTGGTAGAGCCACTGCATGAACAGCGCCCCGCCTAGCAGCACACACCCTTGTCTCGATCCCTCCTCAGCTGCCGCACCACACACCCCAGCCTCTCGAGCGGGCTGGACGCGTCGGCGACTAGGGGCAGCACGGCGAATGCGTTGAAGAAGCTGTTGGACAGCGTCTTCAGCTCGCCCGTCCTCAGATTGACCGGCCAAACGAACATGGCATCTCGCCAGGTGCTCAGCGGCGATGGCAGCTCACCCTCTGCTGCATTCCTATCACCACCGTGGGTCTTGTTGATGTATCGGACGATCGCGCCCACCACCAGCGACACAAACACCTCATTGATGGACACTTTGCTTGCACCCGCCGCCATGAGCACTTGATCAGACATCCTCACGGACCTCAGCTCGTCCATCGAGATGCACCTGGGCAGTGAGACCTGTCGCAGGCCGCCGGGCGAGGGACGGTGGGGGGCCGAGCGGGATGACGGTGGTGGGTCCCATGACGGAATAGACGGCAGCAGCGGCAGCGCGAGGATCGGCAGGGGCGCGTAGAAGAGCATCGAGGCGTACATGGCCAGCCGGTCCCACATGCTGAGTGACGGCAGGTGAGAGAACGACTTGCTGATGCTGGCAGTCTCATCTCGGTCGAAAAGCTCTTTGGTGATCATGCGCACGAGAGCCGCACCATCGCCGAGCAGGTGGTGGATGCGCCACACGAAGATCGTGCTGGGCGCGCCGTCCAGCCCTTCGCACTGTGGAATCACCTTGATCTGCCACGCCGGGCGGCTCATAGGCAGGTCCCCGTTGATGCAGATGTCCAAATACTCGCGCAGATCTCGCAAGGGCAGCAAGAGAGGCGCCCCAAGTGACGGCATCTTGCCGCTCCGCCGGATCTCCTCTCTCACACAGTCGTGCGGCACCTGGAGGACGTGATTGCGGACATCAAACCTCCCGTCCCCCTTGTCATAGGAGAGGCACCAGCGCCACAGGACTCGCTTGAGAGTGCACTTGAGCCGCTCGTGCTTGTCCACCCACCGCTCCTTCACGGCCTCCAGCATATGAGCCAGCGACAGCCCATCATCCGCAAAGAAGACGATGCTGATGATAGCGGGTGACTCGACGGTCTCGGCTTGAAGCATCATCACCTCGGTGCGGTTGAGGGGCTGCAGGCGGCCATGATGGGACGATAGTAGCGCCACACAGCCGCACACGGTGCGCAGGCACCATGCTGCGAGGGAGACCGCCATCAGCAGAGGGTGGAGGATGAGAGAGATGACGAACGCGGCCGTCTGGAGGAACATTTCGTGTCAGCATTTCAGCTCATTTCGCCGGCCGTTCAGCAGCAGCGGTTTCACGTCTGCGGGCTTGGGGTTTTGGATCGCTAAACCCTAAACCCTCCGTGTAACCGACCGACCGACCGTGTCTATTCCGCTACCCTCCTTCCTTTTGATCCCTTTCCGTTCCTTCGACACGCTCAGCATCCCTTTCCGTCCTGATCGTGGTTTTGTTGTATGCCGCGCACCACCGACGGAATCCCGTCCCTGCCCTCCTCCGACTCCATTCCCAGCCCCCCCAGCAGCCCTGACACCCTCGCCTCCCGCCCACCCCTCTCCCCTCTCGCCCTCTTCCCCGTCAAGGATGGCTCCCCACTCTGCTTCATGTCCATCTCCGGCCACAGCCCTGTGAGCGACGACGGCGACGAAGCGTACGGCAGCGGCATCCCTGGGTCCACCATGAGCAACACTTACTACTCGGCTGCCGAGTGGGAGCAAGATCCTCGCGAAAAGGAGGCTCCCGAAGGCCACCACCCGGCCCCGCGTGCGCGTGGTTGTTTCCCGCGTTTCAGGCGGTGGAGTGTCGGCCACGCGCACCAGACCAGGACGCCCCGAGAGGACGAGTCAACCTGCCGCAGCTCGGTGCCAGTCGACCTGGCGACACTCGTGTTCGCCCGAGCTCAGTACGATGACCCTCTCGAGGTATGCTGTGCTATGCACGGCAGTCGAAGCCACAGCGAAACAGTCCGCTCACCCGACACGACCCGGTTGTTTTGTCCTTCCTCTGTGTGTGTCGCGTAGATTCACCCCGGTGACCAGTCCCTGACGCCACCGCCGGCGAGCCCTCAGTCTGTGCGCGAGTATGTGGCCCAGGCGTCTGACACCCCTCCCTCCAGCAAACACAACGCCCTCTCGCGTGTGGCGGACTGCCTGCGTGGCGCCAGGAAGCGGACCATCTCTCGGGTCAAGTCCTGGATCCACCACCAGGAGGGTTCGGTTTTTCCGAGGAAGTCGAGTGCGAATTTCGAGGACCATGAGGACCCTGCGGTGTGGCGGAATCTTGACCCCAACTTGCAGTACCGCCTCAGGGGCTTCCCATCGCCCTTCGAGCCCGAGGAGGACCGCAGACTCAGGGACCTCTACGTCCAACAGGTGGGGGAGGGAGCGAGGCAAGCAGAGAAGCATGGATCGATGTCTGCTCTCTTCTGTGTGTGTCGGCTGGTTGGTGTGGTGCAGGGCAAGAAGGCGATCCAGGAGCATTTGGCCCTCAAGGCGGACACTCGTGGCTGGAAGCACGCCGGAACCAAGGGCGGTGTCAAGGTACGTATGGCTGCTGTAGGAAGCACTCCCGCATGGATTGTATGTGTATGTGTGTGTGTGTGCTATCTTTCAGTGTTACCGGAAGGAAGTGACTGACCATTCGCTGCCTGTGTTGGTCAAGGGTGAGGTGAACTTCGGCAAGGGGCCCGGCGTCACCCCAGAGGATGTCATCGACTTCTTCACCATGATCGACCCCCAGCTCTACAACAGCGAGCTCGACATATGTAAGATCTTACCACAGACAGACAGACAACACAATCCTTTATCTTGTGCGCGTGCGTGTGTGTCCGTGTGTGTGCAGCGATCCATCTGCGCAACTGGCGTGTGACGTCGTGGCCCGGCGTGTACGTCTTCTACCAGAGCTACAAGGGCATGATGGGCGTCCCCGGCCGCGACTTCACCATCTTCCTCTACCGCGAGAAGATCGCCGATGACTACTACGCCTTCGCCAGCCAGTCCATCGACTGGCCGAGGACCGAAGACATGCTTCACGGCCGAGTGACGGCACACCTCCTCGTAAGCAACACACACCTCATAATAAGCTTCAACGCATGCGCCGCGCATTTTCACGTTGGTCTGTCTGTTTGTCGCGTGTTTGGCTCTGTCTGTCGGTCAGTTGGGTGCGATGGATGCCCGGTATGACGAGGAGGGCAACGTGATCCTGACGGCCATGTATCAGGCTGACCTGAGGGGGTCCCTGCCTGAGTGGATCAAGCGAATGGTGGCCATCAACTCGATCTCGTGGCTGGGCCAGGCCAAGACGCTCTACGACAAGACCTGGGGCAAGGGCAAGTGGGCGAAGGCGTGATGGGCGGGGGTGATTTGATGCGCGCTGTTGGACATATATTATATGGTGTGTGGGCTGCCTGATTTGGTGCTGTGCTGTGCTGCTGCATGTTCTGCTCTCCATCCCTCCGTTTTTGCGAGGGGCGTGTGCGTGTCTGCGGTGTCTCGTGCTGTGAGTGATATGTTGATGTGCTGCGGTCTGTGTGATGCGAAAGCCGTTGGGTGATGTGTCTGTCGGTGTGGGCGAGCGGTGGTGCATATATTGTGTGGGAATGGCACCTTCTGCTGTAGGCCATTCATTTGTCAGACCACTGACCTCCGTGTCTTGGCAGCTTCCTTTGCCTGCCATTTGCTCTCTCTTTGCTTCCATTGTCTTACTCGGTTTGTGGTTTGTGTGAGTCAAGTGCGTGTCTCTCTGTGTGTGACAATGTGTGTTGGCGGGATGCATAGCCTGATCCATCCGATACGTGGCATGCGATGGTGTGTGCATACTCCGCGTCTTTGCATTCTTGTGTTCTGCCTGTCTGTCTGACTGCAGTGAGTGCACTTGTGCATGTTCCTTGTACATAGCTGCCTGTTGGTTCCACATGTTGTTGTTGTTGTTGTTGTTGTTGTTGATGTGACCGAGAAGACAGACACACCAGCAAGCACATCACGTCAAATCCTTCCAAAGTGGCCCTGCAACCGCACTGCACACACAGCCCAAGAGAGCAGCAACCAATAGGCCAGTAAGCCGACGAACCATTCACTGCAGCAGGCTGGCCATTCAAGCCTCAATCAAGGGCGGGTAGAGCAACCAAATGTATCTAACCAACAAGAACGACTCAAATCTTGTCTGCCTTAGCCAACAACCAAAGCCAGTAGCCTGCCCATCTGTCTGTCTGCATCATGACGCCCAGTGGTCCAACGAAGCCCAGGCACTGTCCGGCGCCTCCTGGGGCATCCACGCTGCCACGATGGCGGCCAGGTTGCCGAGTACGTTGGGGCTGATGTTCTCCCAGTGCATGCCCTCGCCGATGTCCAGCCTCATGCCTCCCATGTCGATACTCAGCGGCTCCTCGCCCTCACCCTCCGCCAGCCGCCGCGTTGGCCGACTTGGCGCGGCAACCGACTCGCCAGGCATGAAGCCTCCGCCGCTGAGGGGGGCGTCGTAGGTCATGTTGGTGGCCGCCTGCAGGGCGCGGCGGTATTGCTTGCTCACGCAAGCGTAGCGCGGGAGGAACATCGCCAGGAGGGACAGCCCCTGCGACGCGCCGAACTGCGAAATAGTGGAGAGACATGTACTTGCCATTTGCGAATCAGTTCATTCATTCGAGACAGCACAGTGACAGTGCGCTGCGTAGCGTACCGGTTCCTCGCTCATCCACTTGGCCCAGAAGTCCTTGCCCGCATTCTTTCCGCGCATGTCCTTCGAGTCGACATTGGCCGTCTGGATGCACACCGTCCCGGGGGGGCAGTTGAGCGGACCGCAGCTGCGCTTCACAGACTGCCGCGCCAGATCCTTCCAGCACGGCACACTGTAGTCGCTGAAAACCGCGTCCAGCCTGTCGCATTTATCCTTGAAGTAGCCGGGGGTGGACAGAGCGCGGCCCGGCGGGGCCTTGGATTCGCTCAGGATGGACAGCACTTGCCAGGCGTCATTCTCCCACGTGTATGGAGGCCACTCGGGGAGGGATTTGTCGACATCGGGGATTCCCGTCTCGACGAAGGACTCGAGGTAGCGATGGTACGTGTAGACGGCCTCCTGCTCCTCGGGGGTGAAGCGGAATTCTGCAGGCACGTGCGTGCGAGAGGTATGTGTGGTCGATGTCTCTGACAGTCAGCCTGGTCGTCTTTGTTGGTTGGTGCTGATTTCTGACCTTTGCCGAGGTAGAGGCCAGCGTTCTGCAGCATCCAGGGCTTTTCCTCAAGATGGCAACGAATGTCGTAGCGGGAACAGAACCGATTGATGATCTGAAATCAAGGGAGCACCTTCATTCATTCAATGAGACACTTGTCACATACACCTGTGTGTGTGGCACCATGCACAGCGTACGTATCCGTAGCTTGCAATGTCATTGCCTTCTGCCAGCTTCTCGTCCTTTGCGTATGACCATCTGGGCAGCCAATACAATGCAGATATACATTGGAAAATTGGCGTACTGGATGATCGCTTAGCCTAGCTTACCCCTCTTCGAAAGTCCCGAGGTGACACCTGCCCCCTTTCTCGTTTACCGCGGCACACAAGTACCGACCCGCGCACAGAAAGCGATGGTCGCCAAAGAGACTGACGAACGAACTTGCTGAGACAATATGCACATGCCACAAATTCAGATAGATGTTCTTGAAGGTTGAAGGCAGGTGCGTACTTACCTGTGTCAGGCTGGTTTGGCATCAGGCCCCAGACTGCGGGCTCTCCAACACCGCTGGGGGGATAGCCTTGCAGCACGTCGTACTGAGACACAACAGCAGGTGGACAAACAGGCTCGTAGAAGATAGTGAGACTGGAGAGGAGACATGATGTCGTATCAGTATACTGACTGCATCTTCTCCAAAGAGATAGGTGACGGCAATGGACCATGTCAGACGGTTCAACACGAAGTTGGTGAGCCAGAATCGCAGTTGGTCTGGCAGCCACCGCGTCGCGGCGTAGAGGAGGGCTCTCATCAGCGGCGGGCCCTCATGTGCCGAAACCGTGTACATCAGAGGCACGTCTGTGTTGAACCATCCCTGCAAACATTAACACAGATGTGCGTTGAAGAAGAGCCACAAACACGTGTGGATTGGATTACCTTCTTGATTTTCTCAAAGCAGTCCTCTGTAATGAACTTTCCGTCGATGACAGGACTCCACGGCGTGGCGCCGAGGAACAAGTCTTCGAGCGCTGGATAGACACTCCCCAGTAGGCTGGCCACCTTCATCTTCTCGAGGGGAACTCCCTTGAGGCAGGCCTTGTACGCTTCGGCGTCCTGGATGAAGTTACCGCACTCCTTGAACACAGCACCGAGAGCGAACCTTGTTTGGGATTTGCTGCGCTGAAGGACACAACAAACACAATGAAGGACATACAAGGGATAATCCTACAGACATGTTGCTCTCACGCACGTCGAGCCTTCTCGCGAATGAACAGCAGGGAGTCGACACAGCGATGGCCTTGTGGAAAAGGACCCCGGCGTTATCCGATGCCAGGTGACAGATAGTGCTTGTCGCCCCCGCGCTGAAACCCAAGAGCGTCACGCTGTCAGTCAGACCGCCAAAGTACTGCATGGTGGAAAGGATATACCATCAGAGTACACGTGCGCTTCTCTCTCAGCTGTGTCTCACATTGATGTAATTGTGGATCCACTCGAGGGCCAAGGTCTGGTCTTGCAAGTGCAGGTTGCCAGGAGCCCAGTCCGCTGCAATGGCGCCGAAGAGCGCCAGTCGATAATTGAACCCGACAACGATCTTGCCTGCACCAAAAAACTCAGGCTCCGATATGCATGGCGATGTGTCTCTTTGTGTTTTCAACGTGAGATACCCAGCGCGTTCGCAAATGCGGCGCCATCGTTGAATTTGGACCCCGACGTGCCTGCCAGGAACGACCCCCCGTGGATCATCGCTATCACATCGACGGTTGTCTTCTTCTCCCGCACCACACTCGGCACCCACACGTGCAGATACAAGCTGCAACAAAACACACACACACATGACGTGAAAGGGCCCATGCATGGGGCTTTACGTGGCTCTCTCTGTGCACTGTGCGTGCCGTGCGCCTACCAGTCTTCCTCAACACGTGCCGGCCGGGACTCGCAGAAATATGGAGTGCCGACGTATTCGTCGCACATGCTGGGGCAGGCGGGGCCGTGCTCCTGAGCATCGATCTTGCCGGACGGATGGAGGAGATACGGCTCCTCGAACCGATGGGCGACTGACATTCCCCACAGAGATGGAGATGGACATGCACGCGCTATGCACGCGCACAGCCGCAGCGATCAATCGTACCTACCTACCTCCATATTTGATGCCCAGGAAGGCGTCGGTGTCCGTGTCAGGCTGGTAGATGCCGTGAATGGTCGCATCTGAAGCATGGCAGGCACCACATACATGAATACTTAGCCGTCGGGACCGAGCAGACAGACAGATGAGTGCTGGCATACCTACCTTTGAAGGCAATGACAGGATCCCCCCACTTGGATTGGGCCCGCACGCGAAAAAGAAACAGAAGGGCAACAGCTGCGCCTCCAATGTGCTTCATTGTCAAAGGGCCCGGATTTCACTCCCCCCATGAGAAAGCTCGCATAACGTTTCACGACGTTCACGTCCCGCGCTATTCGGTGTTAACGCATCTTCTTCCCCCATCGGCAACCTGAGGCTCCCCCGTGTCATCCATCGCCACACTCCCATCACCTGCTCCTGCTGCTGACGAGGCGATGTTGTGCGGCTTCCTGAAGCGGGAAATGTGGCTGCATTTCCCGTTTCAGGACCTGGTCTTCTGGTATCGCTACCTGGTGATGTGCGTCACCCGGCCGGAGTATCGGAAGGCGAGATGGCACGGCATCTTCAATGGCTGGTGGCTGATGATGCTCATCCGGCACATAGGCGAATTACTGGGACTCATATCGCCCCCCAAAGCTGCTGTCCTGCGGGACCAACTGGAGAGATGCGACGACAAAGTCCAAGGTACGTGAGATTCGTGGATGGGTCAGGCAGGCATGCCAGGGTATATGGCTTCTGTGTGGGTGGATGAGTGTGTGTGCAGAGCTGGGCCGCCCCAAGCTTCACACAACCATCAATGCGAAGGTACAATTCTGACCAGAGAGTGAGTGGAGGGCGTGAGGTGCGTGCATCCACGCAGCCTTGGGTGTGTGTGTGGTGTGGTCGGGCGTGCAGGGGCTGCACCTTCAGCGCTTCAGCTACGAAGTAGAGAAGCCTCGCGGGGCTATCATAGGTACGCGCCCAACGCTTTGACGAGAGAAATGGCCTACAACCAGACAGACAGACAGACGGACAGACCGGCGATCAGTGTATCGTTCCCCTTTGTGTGTGTGATCTATTGGCTACTAGCGATGCACGGTTACGCGTCACACTTCCGCTTCTGCTTCCTCACACTCCCCGGGCAAAAATACTACGGCAGCTGGATACAGAAGTAGCCCACGCACCCCCACCCGCACTGCTGTCTTCATGACACGGGATGTGATGCCATCCATCCATCCATCCATGGCGCCTGTGTGTCGTGTGTGGTCGTCAGGCTGAATTTGGAGGGCTTCAGCGTGTATGCGTACGACCACCAGGGACACGGCCTATCGGACGCCTGGCAGGACGTTCGGTGTGTACGGACACACAGACAGACAGACAGACAGAAAACTAATGCCGACACACACACACGCACACATACATTGGACGGATTTGGGCTGTGCTGTGCTGTGCTTGCCTCTGTGTGTGTGTGTAGGTGCAACTGTGAGTCATTTGACGACCTAGTCAATGACGCGGCGGTGGTCCTCAATGACGTCAGAACAACCGTCGGGTGGGTGACACTGTGCCACACAGACACTACGACACACAGATATGCTCCGCGCCCATCCCTACAGCCACCCATCCACGAGTCCCTCCCTTTCTCCCTGTCTGCTCGCCCCCTTTTGTTGTCAGTGGTTCGGTGCCGGTGTTCATGATGGGGCTGTCGATGGGAGGGAATGTCGCCGCCCAGGCGGCTGCTGGCGCGGCCGGCCGCATGCTGGACGGCATCGTACTGGTAAGATCGATCGGCATCATAGACACAGACACGCACGTACTGGCAGGCTCGTTTGGTTCCGTATGTGTGCCGTTTCCACCTTATATGTGCAGTTATCACCGATGCTCGACATGACGATCATGAAGGCGGCCAACCGGCCCTTTTTGCCCCTGCTGCCCATGGCCAGCCGCATCGCCCCCCACCTGGCCGTGGGAAGCAGACCGGTCAGTGAGTGCATCTTTGCACACACAGACAGACAGACAGACAGACACCTCGCGGACGACGGGCGCGCCGCTATGTATGTATGATCAGGTGCACATAGAAGAGGTGATGTTAGAAATGGTTCTGGACCCGCTATTCTACACAGGACTGTAAGGCGGGCGGCTACAAAGATGGATTGCACCACACCACACCACACCACAGGCAGGCAGTCAGATGCAGATGTGTGTATCTCTTGTCTGTCTACACACATGTGGACACACGTGCAGGAGCCGTGCCCGCTTTGGGTTGGAGCTCATGCTGGCTGTCGAGAGCGTGATGAGCAAGGCGTCGTCGATCCGGTGTCCGGTGCTGCTGGTGCACTCCCACAAAGACGGCATCGTCGCCCCAGACGGATCCAAGACCTTCCTCCAGAAGGTCTCATCTGAGGTGGGCGGGCGAATGGGCATGCCAATATGTAGATGGGTCTGTCTGATCTGTGTGATGTGATGTGATGTGTCTGGCCTGCCTGCCTCTCGTGTGTGTCATCAGAAAGCCGATTTCGTGGTTGCGGACGAGATGTATCACCATCTGCCGAACGAAAAGGGCAACGAGAAGGTAGGTGGGCAGCCGCCGCACACACACCAGGGTGTGGTGTGCATCCGGTCGGTCAGGGGGCCGTGTATGTGTATATGTATGTGTATGTGTATGCGTTTGTGTCAGACCTACGAGCATGTGCTCCAGTTCCTGCTGGCCCACGCCCCGCCAAGAGACGCCACATAGAAAGACAGACAGATGGATAGATAGATCGACCCACACATGCACATATTCTCTAGTTGTATAGACTCTGTCTCGCCCCCGCCCGCCCGCCCGCCCGCCTGTCTGCCCGCCTGACACGATTGACCCGTCATGTACATATCAACTGACTGAGTGTTAATGCTTATGCGGCATTTTTCCGTTGTGCTTGACCTTTCGGTGAGATCGTCTCTCTCTCTCTCTGTGTGTGTGTGTGTGTGTGTGTAGTGCACGTGTGTATACCTATGTGTGTGTGGCAGCGTCGGAACCGCGGCTTGCTCGTGGCTTGCTTGCGAATTGAGTGCTTGTTCGACGATCACCGCACCAGGCATCGACGTTAGGGCGTACAGGGAAGGGGAAGGAAGGGGAGGACAGGGATGGGGATGGGTGTGACCAGCGGTGTGTGTTCTGCGTCCACTGATGTTCGCTTCCATGAGGTCTCTCATTGACATTACAGACAGACAGACCCGCGACACGCGTATGCAGTTTAATCGGATCTCATGCATGCATCTCTGTCTGTCTGTCTGTCTGTGAGGGCTACTTTCGTTGTGTGACAGGTTCCAGCGAGCCAAGTATAAGGTAGGCAGCCAGCAATTGTCTGCACACATGCATATGATGGATGGAGAGAAACAATCAGCACCCAATCAAAGTGAAAGGAGAATTGGATCAATTGGCGTGTGTGCAGGCAGGCAGCTTTGTGCTGCTTGCTCTTTGTCTGACATCTGCCTGGCGGAGACAGACAGACAGACCATGTGGGTGGGTGGTGGGATGGATTCATTCATTCATTTGGACCTGTGACTCCGCTTGCTTCAGTTTCGATCCAATCCAATTCGTGTGCGTGCGAAGAGTCAGCCAGCCACCAGTCTGTCTACATGCATTCAGCCACACAGGCAGGCACACAGGCAGGCAGGCAGGCCACTCATTCACTCACGCACACATGAACTCTAAAAGGATGCGGCCGCCACCTGCACAGAGAGCCAAGGCAGACGCATCAATCGATCAGTCAGGCACTAAGCAACTAAGTAGGTATACGTACGCACCACGACCGCCTCTCACTTCACTCTGCGACACCTCCCTCCCTCCCTCCACCTGCTTCACACAGCCAGCCATCCGTCCGTCCATCCATCCATTCGTCCGGGCATCCATTCATGTAAAACTTAGAACATACAAATAACAACAGAGTGTACACTCATGCCCACCCATCCCAGTCCCCCCCATCCCCGCAGACAGACAGACAGACAGACGCAGCCGTGCCACTAACCCATCCCCTGCAGACGCCCACACACACACACAGAGGAAACAGATGGGTGGCTGATCGCAATCCCAACTGTCTTGGTCTCCTGCGGTACCTGTCCAGTCTCGGTTGCTGTGTCACTATGATTATTCTCAACCCTGGTGCGGCCCGCCGTTGTGCAGACCATCAGCTCCTCCGTCGCCCTCCTCCCGCGGCCCCTCGGGCGCTGCTCGCGGGTCCACATCCACATCCATGGGCAGATCCCGCGCTGAAGCTGCCGGCTGTGGCTGTGGTGGAGGGGGAGGGCGACGGCGAGGAGGGGGCTTGAGAGACACTGTCATGGTGTTCTTCTGCTGCTTGCGCGGGGGCTTCGGCTTGGGCTTGGGCACCACCACACGGTCGTCCCGCAGGTCTATCACCTCGGCCCTCGGTGCTAGTCCAGCTCCACCGGCCGTCTGCACACCGCCGCTCTCGCCTGCCGCTGGTGTTGAAGAGAACAGGGGGACCGGTGGCAGCACCGGAGCAGAGACGCCGTTGACTGCTACAGGCTGTGAGGTAGGTGGTGACTGGGGGTGCTGAGAGAGTGGGGTCGTGCCGTCCATCACGTGGCTGCCGTTCAGCAACGGCTGAGACGACACGTGGCCACCACCCGGCGCCCTTGGCGGCACAGCACGTGCTGGCTCGGCCAGCACCTCCTCCTTGCCGTTCGCATCCACCTCTGCCGCAGCGCCACCATCGCCCTTTGGCGCCTCCTCTCCTGCATGTGTGAATGTGGGGGCTGGCGCTGCGGGTGCCTGCTTGGGCTTCATCGGTCGGGTTGGTGGCGGCTCGTAAGGAGCCAGAGTCATCTCAGGCAGACCGGGACGCACCACGGGCAGCATCAGAGGCTGCCGATGGGGTGCAGCGGGGGCCAGTGGCACAGAGGGGTGGATCGAGGGAAACGGCGGCGGGCGGGGGATCATGGGAGGGGGGAAGCCTGACGGCGGGAGTGCTGCGCCAGATGGCGACTTGGGCGGCGCCAAGGGCCTGTCGGCCGGGGGTGCTGATATCGCTATGAGGCTGGAGCTGGGGGCGGTCTGCCTACGGGCCTCCACAAACAGCGACACGTTCCTCTCCATCTCCGGATTGGGCTGTGCCGGCCGCCCAGTCGCATCGCCACCATTGGGTGGCCTGGAGTGCCCCATCGCCCATGGGTATGGCCGTGACGGCTGCTGCTGGTTCTTAGCAGGGTACGGGATTTGTTGAGGGCAGAGGCTGGGGCCGAAGTCCGGCAGCAGGAAGGGATGCAGACGCTGCTGAACATCGGCATTGGCCTCCGGCGGCGGGGGTGCATCTGGTGCTGTTGGCGGACTGGCCGGCGGCAGCTCCTGCGGTGGAGCGGGCTTGCGAGAGGGGCGGCTCTTGTTGCCTGTGACACACCACACATGCAGAGAGGTTGACTGAATGACGTGTTGACGAATGCGCTGTGCGGATGGGTATGGTATGGATAGCGGTGTGTGTCCTCTCACTTGCTGCGGGCAGCTGGTCGAGCTGCTCGTCAATGACGTCCGGTTGGTCGAGCATCTCCAGCACGCTTGACCGCTTCTTCTCCCGCGACCGCAGCTGCATCCCCTCACCCCCACCGCCCTCGCCCTCCTGCTCCTTTGCCTCCTTATCGTCACACGTGAAGGGATCTGACACAGCACAACACACAGACAGAGATGGTGCGGTGCAGCCATCGATACAATACACTTCCCTTCAGTGACACCGCTTTCTCACCTTTGCGGGGTCGCTTCGGTCGAGAGGATCGCCGGCGACTTTTGTCGTCTGCTTCGTCGTCCAGGAATCGAGCTGGCAAGCGGCGTGCGTCGTCCTTATGCCGCTCTGTGCGGCGCCTGCGGGGCTTCGGTGGCGACTTGCGGGGGGCCGGCTTGTTCTTGCGCGGGCCACGCTGGTCTATCTGCATCGGCACAGGCTCCTCAAGAGCCCTCGCTGCTGCAGACACACAAGATGACACGATACCACATCCATCAACAAACAGATGACATGACCGTCATGGTTGATTGAGGTGGGGTAACCGTTGCGCGCTCTCTCCCACCTTTCCACCCGCGTACCCACCTTGTGCGATGAGCGCCTCCTGCCTTGCCTTCCAGGCCTCGTGCAGTGCGTCGAGCATGGCGCCCACCCTCACCCCCGCCACCTCGATCCGATTGCCGTCCAGGGTGCGGCCGATGCCGACCGTCTCCATGGGCCTGAAGGGCTGCAGGGCCTGCTTGAACACGACGAAGCCACCCTCGCGCCACCTGATGCCGAGCTTGGGGCCGCGCAGGTCGGCGTTGATGCGGTCGGTGATGTCCCTGGCCTTCTCGCCGACGGTGGTGCGTGTGCGGGGCGGAAGGGGCGACACAAAGGGAAACCACTGAGACAACTCTGAAGGAGAGAGACGACGGAACGTTCAGCGATGTCAAGTGTTGTTTGTCGAGAGTGTGGGCGTGTCCAGATAAGGTGACGTACCTTCTTGTGACAGTTGGCTTCGGTACTCGGCCACTGGGCCCTCCTCTTGCTGCTGCTCCTCTTGCTGCTTGGTCTCCTCTACGGCGTCATCCTTCTTGTCACCGTCAACTTGATGTCCATCCTTCTTGTCACTATCAGCTTGCCCCTGCCCCTCCGGCCCCTCCTTATCGCCACTGCCGTCCGCCGTCTGGTCAGCGGCACCCTCGCCCTTGTCCGCATCCTCACCCCCACCACCCCCACCCTCCTGGGCGGCACCACTGGCATCCACCATCTGCTGGTCGGACTCGCCCGCCTCCTTGTCGGCCTGATTCCCATCGACCGCCTCGCCGGCCTGGTCTTGGCTCTCCGCGCTGACCTGCTGCTGCTGCTCGGCCTCGCCCATATTGGCCTGCCCGTCTGCCGCCCCTTCGACCTCGACCTGCCTGTCTGGCATCGGTGTGTCTTGGATGGGCAGCTCGACGTCGCCACCGTCCCACTGGTTGGCCTTGCCCGGTGGCAGGACGGGCAGCCCCTCCGCGGGCATCCTGACGGGCCTCTTGGTGACCTTGCGGACGGGCGAGAGGACCTCGTGCTCGTCGGCGAGTGATTCGACCAGCTGTGCGAGTCCGTTGCGCTCCTTGACGGCCTTGGTGATGGCCTCGTCGAGCTTGCGCTGCGTGGGGGGCTCCACGGGGTAGATGCGCTTGGAGTGGTGGGTGCGGCCCCACCGGTCGGTGACGTACACCTTGAACGCACGGAGACGGCGGGAATAGCGGATGCCCAGACCTGCACATACAATTCCAATGAAGGCACACAAGAGAGAGAGAAGGTACCGTGCCGATGGGTAGGTACATCTGTCTCTGCTTGTCTGCTAGCCTAGACGGTGTGCAGGGCAGGACGGACATACCTGAGTGGATGGTGAGCCAGGTGACGTCTGAGTGTCGGCACTCGTCGATGCGGCAGGCGGCCTCGAGGAAGAGGGCGTTGTCGTCGAGGCGTTTGTCGCGGTCGTCAGGCACGAAGGACCTCTGCAACTCCTCGTCAAGACGCCGCTGGTCTGCTCGCCCACCCCACCCACACGGACACACCAACGGCAAGAGATATGCACTCCGGGATCGCATCGCTCAGCGCATGTGTGTGTGGTCCGGTGGTCAGGTAAGGTACCTCTGTCCGAGAGTATGACGGCCCTCATCTCTCCATCCAGATCAACGCGCCGCACGTTGGGCTTCTCCCCCTCATCCGCACCCACACCCACACCCACACCCGCACCAATCTGACCCTCGTCTACATCCATCTTGGCCAAACCAGACACAGACCCCTCCCCACCACCACTTCCGTCAACACTTCCTGCCGCAGCAACAGCAGCAGGTGATGCTAGAGCAGCAGCTGCTGCTGGCTCTGCCGCCACCGCCATCTCCTCTCCCTCTCGCTGACCCTCCGCCTCTGGCACTTCCTTCTTGTCCGCGGCGGCCGCCTGCTGCTGCTGCTGCTGCTGCGCCGCCTTCTTCTTCTGCTGCTTGCGTGCGAGTGTGCGGAGGAACTTCTGGTCCGCGGCCTGCACAGCGCGGTACTTGTCGCGGAGCTTGAGGATGGAGTAGAGGGCGACCTTGAGGGAGGCGATGGTGTCGGAGCGGGGCCGTATCTTGTGGAGGATCTTGGGGCTGCGGTGGCCCCGCACCAAGACGTACTGCAGCTGGTCCTCGTGCCACACCACACGGAGCTGGTTCTCGCGAGAGAGATGGTGGGAGGAGGTGACGGTGACGTCGAACCGACGCCGGAGGGACCCTTCATCGTCCTCCTCGCGGAGGGCCACACGCCGCTTGGCCTCGCGCAGGATGACACGGGCGCACTTGCTCAGCAACGGCGGGTCCAACATGCGCACCTCCTCTGGTCGACCGACACGAAGGAAGGACACGGGGGGAAGTGAGAAGCTAGCTTGTTTGTGTGCTGTGCTGTGTTCGTTTCTTTGCCCATCCCTGTGTGGCGTGCGGTGCGTACCGTCTTCGCTCTCGTCGGCACTTTCGTCGCCCTCGTTGGCGGCGTCCTTCTTGCTACCCCACACAAACGCTGCACACAGACACAGACCCGCACCCATCAGATCAGATCGTCACTGTCCCATCTCGCCCTCCCTCCCTCCCTCCCTCCCTCGTGTGTCTTACGTGTCCGTCTGGTTGAATTCTCGTCATCGCTATCCCTGATCTCGATGCGCAGGTCGCCCTCCATGCCGAAGGGCGCCGGCTGCACCTCCTTGCTGCCTGCGCCCCTTTGGCCCTTCCATGCATCGCTACGGCACGCCCCCAACGCCAGAGGCTCAGAGGGATGGTACTCGGCCGGCAGAGAGGCAGATGGGGGCTCGGCGGCCTCGACCCAAGACGATGACGCCGCCGCTGCGGCAGCGGACTGCTCACATGAGCCTGAGGAAGGAAAGGACACTAAATAGAGATGCGATTACATTCACTTATTCATGTGTGTGGGTCTCCTTGTTGCCTCGCATCTCTCACCGGCAGCAGCAGCAGCAGCAGGAGCGTCTTTGTCCTCCTTGCGCTGCTTGTCCCCTCCCCGTTCCTTGGCGCTGGCAGCACTCCTGGCCTTCTTGGACGCACGGCCGTCCGAACCGCTGCACGACGGGACCCCGCCCTCCCCGCTGGGCTCCAACCCGCCCTCAGCCTGGGTCTGGGGGGGTGCGGTGGCGGCGGGCGGCGACTGTGACGGTGAGGGCTCGTGTGGTCGTTTGGCGGCGCCATTCTTCTTGCCGCCCTTCTTTTTCTTGCCCTCGGGGATGAAGCGCTGCGATGGGTCGTCGGCGTCGAAGTCGGGGCTCCATGGGGGGATGATGGGCCAGCTGTTGTCGTCGCCCTTGGAGAAGAACCAGTGGTCGGCCTTCTCACAGTACGACCACCTGCACCACAGCACACACACAACACACACCACGAGACGAGAGCCTTCCAGCATTCATTCACCCATGTGTGGATCGGCTGTGCTGTGCCCATCCCATCAGTCCTGACTGTCTCTGCTGCCCACCCCACCTGAGCTGCTCCCCCTCTTTGATGGTTTTGACGGGCGTGATGGCACAGCAGTAGTCCCCCTGCACGCTATTCGCCACCTCGTCCGGCAAATACAGGTGTCTGGGCACCCACACCCTCGCGCAGTTGGCCCTGGGCACCCACTCGGGCGCACTGGCGTCGGTGGTGCCGTGGTTGATGGACACGGCAGGCAGCCAGATGCGCGAGCAGATGCTGTCGCCGAACAGCACCGACTTGGTCCCCGCCCCCGCCCTCGCCCCGGCGGCTTTGTCCTGCCTGTCCCTGTCCTGCTCCTCCTGGCCGAATGTGGGCTTGTGTGAGGGCTTGCTGGAGCCGTCGCGGTGTCCGGAGCCGTTCCACACGAGGCTGAGGTGTCCCAGCCAGTCGAGGTTGGCGATCTCGGCGCTGCATGGGATGGACATGCTGAAGCACTTGTCCCGCTCGGCCTTGAGGTCCGACTCGAGCTGGATCTTGCCCCCATACGGCAGCAGGAGGCCCTGGAGCATCCTGCTGCGGATGTCCTCGGTGTAGTGGGCCGAGCTGCTGTTGGGGACGGGCCAGCCCAGGAGGTCCCGCCGCGCGACGATCTTCTTCTCCTTGCTCTGGACGGTGTGAGGGGGGTAGGGCCGGGTGCCCGGCTCCAGCTGCCAGATGTGGCCGTGCATGCGCTGGTAGTTCCAGTTGAAGATCTGCTCGTCGGTCTCGAGACGCACGGCGCGGTAGGACGGCAGCAGACACCGATCCAGCAGGAACGAGAGGGACAGGTAGGCCTCGGCCTGGGTGCGCAGCAAAATGGTCGACTTGAACAGGTCATGGTCCTCATCCAAACCTATGTATGCAAGAGAGAGCCACACACCGAAGGAAGGGAAAGGTGCAGTGCATGGGATGTGTGAGCTGAGGTGTCTGTCCCCGTGTATGTGTGTGTGTGTGTGTGTGTGCGGTTGCTTTGCTTACCGACGGGTATCATTTCATCGTCGACCTCTACGTTGACCTGGTTCTCCCGCCTCTTCCTCAGCTGGAACCGGTGCCCCTCGCCATGAAGCTCCTGCCACTTCCACGTGGGACTATATCCCGACCCGCTGCCCTCACCACCACCCTTCTGCCCACCCTCTACCTCAGACGCCGGTGGCACTCCTGAATCCCCTCCTCCAGATGCAGCCGCTGCAGCCGCAGCCGCAGCCGCAGCCGCAGCCGCTGCTGGTGCTGGTGCGGCTGCGGCTGCCTCTGGTGCTGCCTCCTCTACTAGTGGTGGTGGTTGTGCAGATGCATCTGCGCCATCCTCCATCATGGCACGCTCCTCGCCCTCGTGCTGTTCCTGCTCAGGTTGGTCTTGGTCTTGGGGTGGCAAGGCCGCTGAGCTGCCGGCTGCATCTGCATCGGACGACGCCTGTGCTCGCGAGGGGATGGGGAGGGGGGGCGCCGACTGCTGCGGCTGCGGAGCGGACTCCTCCGCGTCACCATCGCCGCCGGGACACATTGCGTCCGCCAAGGAGCCTAGTAGTCAGCCGGTAGGTCACCTGGGCAGGTTATGGCTGGTATGCGTTTGAACAGCAGGACTTCCTATGCTGCGATGGCGCCATGAGCGGTTTCACGGAATGTTCAAAGGCGGCCGATAAGCAATCCCGACGAACGACAGGCAACAGGAATCACCCACGCACCCGTAGGGATAGGTGTTGGTCTGCCCCTCCTGACCCGAACCCTGCAAACCCTAAAATCAGGTGTAGGGTATGCTCTTAACGGACGGCGTACAGTGTAAACCTCGTGATTCATCTGAGCATCATCCCCCAAGAGATGACGGGGTGCAACGATGGTCATCGTGAGGACAGCGTCTGATGGAGCTCTTCAGGCAGAAGCGGGAGCAAGAAGTGGCCAGAACCGCCCTCGAGAGCACCAGGCCGCAGACACGGCAACCACCGCAGCCACCGCAGCCACCACAGCCACCGCAGCCACCTCAGCCACCTCAGCCACCCGCACGAATAGCTAAGCAGCGCGACGGCTGCGAGACCATCCTCACCGGCTGCGGCCGTGGTCTGGCGCGGCTCTTCACCCGATGGGGCGCTCTGTCTGGCCGCGCACCTCTGGTCCTGCTGGCGGTGGCATTTGTGGTTGGAGTGCTGTGTTGGATCCCTCTGGCGGGCATCGAGGAGTACACCGACTGGCAGAAGCTCTACTACCCGCAGAACACCCTCTCGCAAAAGCACAAGGGCATCTACGAGAAGGCCTGGGGGCCGCCGCAGATGATCTTCTCCTCGGTGGTGCTCACTCCCGTAGGACCGCCCAACGCCGGCAACAGCAGCGCCACCACCGAAGGCAAGAATCGGACTACTGTGGTTGGAGTCAGTGACTTCAAGAACGTTTTGACGGCGGAGGCCTTCAGCGCAGCCATGTCGATCTATATGCGGCTGACGAATGCGACGGTGCAATCGCCCTCTCATCCCGGCAAGAGCATCACCTTCACCGACGTGTGCAGCCCGCCGCAGTGTGTGGTGCTGTCGGTGTTCTCCCTCTGGGCCATGGTGTGGGGCGGGGAGGGCTCCGACACCAACAACGGCACCAGCCTCGACACAGGCTACCCCTTGCCAGTGTCGACGGAGCAGCTGCTGGCCCAGCTCAACAACCCCATCATGCGCGACCCCACGACCAAGGGTCCACTCCGCGACAGCCCTGCCGTCCGGCAGGTGCTCGGGGGCGTCCAGACGGACCCCCAAACAGGCGAGTTGGTGGGTGCCAAGGCCTTTCGGCTCCTGTTCCTCATGGATGGCTCAACCGAGGCCAAAGTTGCCAAAGCGCACGCATGGGAACAGGGGCTTATCGACGCCGTTATGGACGGGGAGCAGGCCGGACAGTGGGCCGACAGGGGCTTCCGGGCGTTTGTGTGGGCAGACCGGTCCTTCGAGGAGCTGATGCAGACGGGAGGCGTCGACGCGGCCCTGCTGGCTCTCGCCTTTGTGTTCTTGTCGCTCTATGTTGTGGCCGTCAACGGAGACTGGAAGACCGGGGGAGCCGTGCGCTCGCAAGTCGGCATGGTCAGGCATGTCATCTCTCGGCCAGATGGGCTTCATATCTCTCACGTGTGTGTGTGTGTGTGTGGTGTGTATGTTATGATATGAGACCACCATGCAGGCGCTAGGTGGTATCGTATGTGTGTTAGTGTCGATAGGGTGTGGGTTCGGCCTGACGGTGCTCATCGGCTTCCCCTGGATCCCACTCGTCGGTGTCGCGCCCTTCGTCGTATTCGGCGTCGGCATAGACGATGTCCTCGTCATGTAAGCTCAGCTCCACCAGACAGACACACACAGGCGCCGATCTCACGGTACGGTGCCTAGAAATCCCCCTGCTGTCGGTCGTCAGGCTTCGCACGTTTCGGGAGACGTCTGCGTCGCTTTCCCCGACGGCTCGCGTGTGCGAGACTTTGGCTGTGTGCGGGGGTTCGATCTTCATGACCTCAGTGACAGACGTGGTGGCCTTTGTGGTTGGGGCGACGTCGTCATTCCCGTGCGTCAAGATCTTCTGCATGTACTGCGGCATCACACTCGCTGCCGCCTTCCTGCTCGAGGTAGGTCAGCCAGCCGCGGAACAAACAAACAGCACACAGAGCCGGATGGCCGGCCCATCATATCATTCAGAGGATGTGTGTGTGGTGTGTGTGTCGACGTGATGCATTTCATTCAGTGCACGTTCTTCGTGGCGTTGCTGCACCTGGATGCTCGAAGGCAGGCGGCCAACAGGTGAGTGACATGAGGCAGGATCTGGTCGGTCGTTGGAGACGCCCTTTCTTTCCCTTGCCTCCGTACCCTGGGTGCGTTCATCTCATCAGGCGCGACATTGTTTACTGCTTCACCCCCGCCAAGACGTCGCCCGACGAGACGTCCATCCTCGACGGCGGCAAGGACAACGACACCGCCTCGAGCGACACCGTACCGCCGCCATCCGTCGACAAACACCCACACCCACACCCACACCAGCATCAGCACATCATCACACACACCAGCCAGCCGCCCGCATCCACGCCCACATTGGCCGCCGGGAAGCCCGGCAAGCTCATCAGGGTCGGCATCGGCCGTGCGCGTCGGTGTCTGTGTGTGGATGGGCCGCATTTGGATTTGAACGAGATGGTGGAGCGGCTCCTGGGCCACTACCTGGTCGAGGCACTCGATCGCTCGCGGGGCAGACTCATTCTCAGCATCGTTTTCCTAGCAATCGTCTTCACAGGTAGGTACAGACAGACGCGGAGGGCAGGGGGGAAGCTTGGCTTGGCTTGGCTGGATGTGATGTGTCTGGTTGTCTGTCGCTCATCAATAATCAGGTTTTGGGGGTCTGTTCTCCCTGAATGTTGATTTGAAGAACATCGACCTGGTGCCGGAGGACTCCTACCTGCACGACGCCATACTTGCACACGAGGTGGGTGGCCTCGACAAGACAAGGCAGCCTACCCACGCCATGCCATGTCACCCGTCGCATCCATCACTCGTCCTTGCGTCTCTGTGTGTGTGTTGGCAGGATTACTTTGCTGACGTGCTGACGGTGCATGACGTGGCCATCGACCTGGCAGGGCTGCCCTTCCAGGACCTCCGCACTCGACAAGAGATAGAGGACCTCACTCTGCGGCTGGAGGCGTCTCAGTTCACCAACCACCATCCCGCATTCAAGGTCAGTGAGTCACTCAAGAGCCGACAATTCAGCTTGCCCTGTTTGTAGCGCCGGTGTATGTCTGTGTGTCTGTCGACCCCCCCAATCCAATCAGACCCGTAGTTTGTTCCGCGATTTCGAGAAGTGGGAGGAGCGTCGGATATGGCTGTCAGAGATGGACGACTCGGTCATGGACGAGCCCCTCCCCGACACATGGCCGGCCTTCCTCAACGACACCATGGCCAAGCTCAACCAGCTCCCCGACGCACTCACCCTCCCCGGCTCCACACTCACCGCCGGCCGTGCCAAGAACATCCTCAAGGCCACCGAGCAGCGCACCAAGGAGGAGGGCAAGCTGCCCCCCCAGGCCAAGAAGCTCCTGGACGACGCCAAGTCGGGGGAGAACACTGACATGCTCACCCAGCTCTCGTGGGTGGCCTCCATGTTTGTCGAGGATCCCTCCGCCGACAATGCGTCGGATGGCTTCCTCGCCATCGCATCCGTCTCGTCGACCAATGGCAATGACAGCAAGGCCGGGGACGACGCGGCCGTCAACGCCACCAAAGGCGGCAGCGGGCCGAAGGGGCAGAGCTTCGAGACCGCCATGAAGAAGTTCCTCGATAACCCACGATACAACGTGAGAGACAGACGGACAGTGGGTTTGTCGACCAACTTGGCGGGATGGATGGATTTGTGGGATTTGGTGGTTGCGTGTCTGGTTCATTCAGCATTATGCGCGAGACATTCACTGGGAGAAGGACGGCAAGGGTAACGATCGCGTCAGGCGGGCCCGGTTCACCATATGCACCAAGGCTCTCTCCGGCTGGGGGGACGGGACAGACAAGGTAGATAGACGGGAGACAGACAGATGTGCACTACACTACAACCCATTCATTTGTACCCCTCCATATGTCCTCTCCCTGCCTCCCCCCCACCTTGTTCGGCAAACCAGGGTCAGATGATGCTGGACTATCGTCGGATCATAGGCGACTCCTCCCTCCACGACGACGCCTTCGCGTACAACCCCTCGTTCTTCTTCTACGAGAGAAACATTTCCGTCCTGCCAATGGTAACCACGCAATGGATGGATGGATGGGTTGATGGAGGCATGAACGTGACAACGCCTCTGTGTCTGTGTGGGGTGGACTGACTCAGACGATATGGAACCTGGTGGTGGTGGCGGCTGCCGTGGTGATCGTCACCTTCCTGTTTATCCCCGACCCTGCCGTCGTCTTCATCGTCCTGGTCAGACACACACACACACAGACACAGAGACAGAGAGAGAGAGAGAGAGAGGCATCTACCTACATGTGTGTATGTGCGTGTGCAGCTGATGCTGGTGCTGCTTGACGTCGAGTTGCTGGGGATGATGAGCTTCTGGGGCATCGATCTCAACTTCATCTCGCTCATCAACCTCGTCATGGCCACAGGATTCGCCGTCGACTACATCGCCCACGTGGCACACGCCTTCGTGCAGCACAAGGGGCCGCCCAAGGAGCGCCTGCAACACGCACTCAAGGGAATGGGCGTCGCTGTCGCACACGGTCAGATAGACCCACGTGGCTGAGCTGAGACACACGGGGGAGCTGACCGACCTTGATGGCCATTTCTGTGTGAGGGTGTGTGTGCAGGTGGCATCTCTACGTTGTGTGCGATGATGCCGGTGGGTCTGTCGTCTGCCTACCTATTCCGCCTGTTCTTCAGGATGTTTATCCTCACATGTTTCCTCGGACTAGGTACGTACGCTGCCTCGATCGCTGTCTAGTCTACCCCCTTCCCCTCTCATCTGCCGTTTGCCGTTTGTTGTCTGCCATGCATACTGTCCCGTGCAGCCCATGGCCTTCTGTTCCTGCCTTTGGTGCTGTCTCTGGTGCGCGCCAAGGGCCACACCGTCTGCACCCGACGATCCAAAGGCAAGAGGGCTCTGAAACGACCAGCACTCAAGGACGGCACCATCGCCTCCTCTCTCTCTCGCCGTGACGTCACTCCCGCCACCCCCGACGTTGACGAGATCGACGGCTACTCGACCAAGGACACCACCTCAGTCACGTCGGCCAAGGCATGTGTGGAGGAGGCCCGCATGGAGGCGGCCACAGACCACGAGCAGGCCATCCTCCCGCCGCGTGTGGTGGACGAGCGGCCCTCGGATCAGTCTTCGTTTGTGGGGGAGCCTGAGCAGGAGTCGGTGGTGGGTGAGGGTGAGGGCGAGGGCGAGAGACAGGACATGGATGCCGTGTGTGTGACGCCGAGGGACCCGTCGACCATTGTGTGTCCGTCCGACCACGGCACAACGGTGTCGGTGCCGCCCCTGACACTGAGGATGGAGCGGCCGGCCATCCCTTCGCCCCTGCTGCCCCCGCCATCCATCGCCTTGTCTGATGCCGATGACGACGACTCCGATGATGAGGACGATGACGCCCCCTCCCCGCCCTCCAACTGCCCCGACACCCCGTCGGCCATCTTCTCGGCCCTCGTCTCGCCCATCCACCGCAGCAGCAGGTCGAGGCGGCATGTGACAGCCACCTCGCCAGTGGTCCTGTCCTACCTGCGCAATGCCGTCGACCGTGACGCCAGCCAGCCGCTGCCCATCCACCTGTCCTCCCCGGCGCTTCCCTGCAAGAGCCGTGTGAGGCGCCACAGGAGGTATAGGAGGGAGGACGTGCCCGAGATCGCCCTGCCGCCATGTGTGGTGGAGGAGAGCACCACCGAGGTGGCCAACTCGGGTTGGGCCAACGACACTGGTGGTGCAGCATCAGCATTGGCCCTGCAGCCGGCTGCCCGTCTCGAGGGCCGACACCGAAGGCGACGCGCCAGTCGCGCCATGCTCGAGGACGGCCATCCTCCTGTTGAGGGCGAGGGTGGCAAGACCGACAAGAGGCACAAGAAGCATCGAAAGGACTCGAGGCGGCGGCATCGCAGTGTGGATGTCGTTGTGCGGTGGGACGCCAACTCGGCTGAGCCGCGACCCGTGACGCCACGACCGCCAAGACGCAGCAGGACACGGGGGAGGGAAAAGGGCAAAGGGAGGGGAGACGGCGGCACCAAGGCCAATAACACCAAGAATAATGAAAATGTGACGTCAGGCGGTGAGGAAGGGCCGACTGCGGCGCATGCAGAGGGAGGCATGGCGGAGAGGTGCCATGATGTCACTGCAGATGTGTGGGACGTGTGACTTGAGCGAGTGAACACAGATGACGTGATTGATGTGTGAATGTGTGAAGGATGCGGGAAGGGAGGGCATGCGTACTTACTGGCTGACATACATACGTGTATGGGTGGGTGTATAGACAGGCGGGTGAGTGAGTGCATAGTGAGTGAGTGCATTGACGGACGGACGGACGGACGGACGGATGGACGGAGGAGGCAGCATCATATCATGACCATGACAGGCAAGGCAGGTGCTGGATGCATATCATGTCTCTCTCTCTCTCTCTCTTCTATTTCTATGTGCGTGGCTGGCTGGCTGCATAACATGTGTGTGTCCATTAATTGTCTGTCCAGTGTGTTTGGTCTTGGGTGCATGTCTACAGTACACAGTGGACAAGCTAATCGACTGGCTGGCTGACTTCGGCGGAGGGGGGGGGGTAGGTGAGGTTCCGTGTGGTTGGTGTCTTGTGAATGAATGCAGAGAGAGAGAGAGGTGCGTGCGGCTGCCGCCACAGAGCTCGCTCACGCGTCAGTCACGATGGGTGCAGGCATGCATTTGTTGACCGACCAGCAGACTTACATTTGACAATTGCAATAGACTGTCATTGACCAACGACCCGCACCCTGTCACGACGCCCGGAGTGCCACTAGCATTTCATAGAAGCATACATACAGCACACACGGGCAGGGGCTGCCTGCCTGTCATATGTAGGTGGGAGGGAGGTGCTGCCTTAGTCTTCCCTTCTCTTGCCCACTCATCGTGCGTGATTACTCTCCCAGTGCTGCTCGAGGGACCGCAGAGAGGGGAACAGCCGGCCGCAGCAAAAGAACACGTCATGACGCCTCACATTCTTGAGGTGCTGGTTCAGGCCGTTGGTGTCCCGCATCTGGGCGCCACAGTAGCCGCAGCTGTTCGTGTTGATCATGTTGTTGAGCCACGTGGACCGCCGCGTATTCTGCCCGGCCACCTCGACGTCCAACTCCCGTGGCGTCTGCGCACACCGCCTCAGGCACTGCCGCCACGAGACGGGCGGTGGGGGCACCGGAGCCACGCGACGGGGCGGAGAGGGGTCTCTCAGGGGCACAGGCGGTGCGAGGGGCAACGCCGCGGCCGCCTGCATGCACTCATCCACACAATTATCGATGCGTTCAGTTGATGTGATGTGATCTGGTCACTCACCGCAGGTGGCGGTGCTGGTGCGGGTGCGGGTGCAGCATCATGGGGAAACAGTTCGCAGCCTCCCGTACACACGCGCCCACGAGCGGGCCACTCAGCAGACACCTGGGAGCAAGGCAAGGCACATGAGTAGGACTGAGTGGGGCACAGCACATCATTCTGAGTGCCGATTGTAGCAGAATTCGAAGTTGCATCTGCATGTGATGTGGTAGCAGCCGTGAGTGAGCTGCACCACAGCACGGCAGCGGGGGCACCGCCGCAGCCTGCACACCGACCACACCAACACAACCACTCCGACACACACATCAATGACCTATCCTGTTGTCTTGGTGTTGGTGTTGGTGTTGGTGTGTGCTGATGGCAAGGCAAGGCAGACCGTACGTACCCCTCCTGTCTGCATTGACTGCGGAATCGTCTGTCTCCCGCAGACCGCTCATCGGCAGGCAGGTCCTGGTACTCCTCACACGTCAGGCCATCATGCCACTCCACACGACAGTTGACACAGAAAGGCTGTTTGTTTACGAAAAAGACAGAGAAGGATCCGACCTGTCTGGGGGCTGCACGCTTTCGTCTGACTGACCTGTTGGCACCACACACACGTGGCCTTGTCCTTCACCAAGCTACCGTCCATCGGCTGCCAGAGGAGAGAAAGGAGCAACAAAGATAGCTGCCTGTCTGTCTGTCTGCCCTCCTCCCCCCTGACCTGTGAGCAGTGTGTGTTGGGGCACCACATAAGGTTAGGTATGGTCGACTCGATCACCCTGCGCTCGAAGGCCACCCGCAGCTCGGGCGACAGCAAATCACCTGCTGTGTCCAGCGTCAGCTCCTCGCACTTGTCAAACGGACACGAAAGAGGAAAGGGCTCGTCGCGAATGGCTACCGAGAGGTACCTCTCGCCGCATGGCCGACAGAATTCGCGGTCGCACAGAAATCGCAGTGGTAGGCTTGTTGTCTCCTTGCAGGCCTCGCACTCACCGCTCGGGTAGGCTGCAGCAGCTGCTGCTGATGAAGACGGTGCTGCTGATGAAGACGGTGCTGATGCCAAGGGTGCCGGGAACAGAGGGGCACAGCTGCTCTTGGCGATGCAGCGGCTGATATCCCGGTCGCTCGCGCCGCTGGTTTCCATGTCGCCGATGCGCCTGGCCAGCTCATGGTCTAGGTCCACCATGGCGAGGTGCTTGACGGCCAGCATCGCCTTCTTGCGGGCCACCTCCCTATCGAGCCTGCAGGCGTCCTCCTCCTCCATCACCGCCGCCATCAGCGACAGGTCCCTCGACAGCTGACACGCACTCAGGTAGTCGTCGGCCGCCATGAGCTCATTGATCTGCTGCTCGACCACCATCGTGAGGGCGTCGCTGGTCGGCTCGGAAGTGTCGGCACATGAGCTCTCGAGTCGCGAATCATGAACACCAAGCGCCAGCTCCTCAATCTGAAGAAGAGGAGAAAGCAGCAGCTGACAATACTACATAGCTCCTCTGCATCGTCATGTCCCCCACCTGCAGCTTCAGTGCAGCTTGGAGGTCTGCCTCGACGTCTGCCTCTTGATGAGAAGGCTGTGGTTGAGTGCCGGCCGGGCCCTCGTCGCCATCGGCTGCAATGGGGCGGCATTCCAATCGGTCACTCGTGCTCCCAGGGGACATCATCGTCCGCTCCGCTCCGCTCAAATGACAGCTGATCCAGCAGAAGGAACCGAAGATGCACCGCAAATGGTGTTGCCGCGCCGCTGGGGTGCTTCTGGCCTCCTCCTTTCGCGAACCAAACCGGTAATTTCCTCAAGGAGCCGCGCAACACAGATCACGTACTCCTGTCGTACAGGAATAGACTGGCGGGTGAAGTGATGCCTTATTCAAAAATGGGGCGGCAAACTGATGTAGCTGTGGCTGGGGTGTTGTTTCCCCTTGCTGAAGATCTGCGATAGGATTCAAGCTCGCCAGAGATCTGCGAGCTCCGCGGAGTCTTCATTTTTCGCGTTGTTTTGCCGCAACGAAACACCACTATTCCGCATCATCGCCTTGTCAACCCGGCCTTCAAGTTGCACGATGCGGCACCTTTCCACTCATGGCACCTGGCAAGTGACGCCGCATGTGTCGATGCTTGGCGGTGGAGGCGGTTTCTATCGGTCCACTGACGCAGTTGCGGTGGGGCATCCCGAGGCAATCATCCTCTCGTGTTTCCTCGCCTGCTATGCAGTGGCCATGGCCATCTGGCTCGTGCGGCGGACCAAGACAAGACGAGTTATCCAGGCGTCCAGCAACCTTCTCTCTGTCAGCACCGAAGCGCCCTCATCTGGCAACACGTCCACCAATGGGGAGGTCATCATGTCAGGGAGTGGAGGAGCGGCCGACAGCGGCGAGGGCGAGGCGGCGCGTGTGCACTCCTTGCGTCACGGTGGCTACACGAAGCTCGAGTGGCTGCAGCAGGCAGTCAACATTATGGTGGTCGCGATATCTATCGTGCTGCTGTTCTACACAGTTCTGCGTCCTGGGGGCGGGAGTGTGAGCGGGTACGTCCATCCGGCTATGTTGGCTATCGCCTTCACGCTCTCGGTGGTTTCTTATCACTGCGAGGCGAGATCCGAGGGCCCCCTCAGCTGGGTGACCTGGGTCTTCTGGTTGCTGGCCACAATCACGACTGTTGATGTGTACGCCCGGTCCGCAACTGGGGCAGCGTCGGAGCCTTTTGACCGCAGCTCATCGGCACGTGTGCCGCTGATGCCCAGCCTCACCTGGGATGAGCTGCTCCACGTGGCATTGTTTGATCTCACAGTCATCCAGATCGGCCTCTTTATCTGGCGAGAAGTCTTGCGGGTCGGTGAGAGGCAGGCCTATGAACAGACACATTCCACAGACACACACACAGATGCTGGTGTGTTTGTTGTCGGTGGTGCAGTCAAATGTCGCTGAGGCCCCATCGAGCTCTGCTGTTGCCGACCCCCACGCGCCAACGAACCTGTCGGTACCACTGCTGCATGGAACGGCGAAAGAGAAGGAGGCCGACACTGACACGAGTGTGCATGCCGCTCATCCGTCCCCCTCCATCGCCCCTCCTCCGCCATCAGCCGAGGTGCCGGCCTCTCTGATATCCCGGCTGACATTCTACTGGCTGTCGCCCTTCATGGCCATCGGCAAACAAAGGCCACTCGTCACCTCTGACCTCAACGATCTGAACCCCAAAGTAATTAATTAGTGATGGCGGGTGGGAGGCAGCGCCTGCAGTGAAATGTCTGTCGGTCTGTCTGTCGGTCTGTCTGTCGGTCTGTCTGTCTGTCTGTGTGGGGGGATCTCTGCAGGACTATGCAGGGGCCGTCACCGATGTGTTGGAGGCACAGTGGCAGAGGGAGCTGCGGCGGGCCAGCCACCCACTGGCCTCGCCGCATGGCACCGCCCAGGGGCCTGTGTCGTCTCGCCTGCCGTCGGTCACCATGGCACTCGGACGGTCCTTCGGTGTGCAGTTCCTGCGTGCGGGTGCTGACAAGTTGATTTACGACATCCTGACGCTGCTGCAGCCGGTTTTGCTCAATCTCATTTTGACTTACCTGGAGGAGTCGGACCTGCAGCCTTTCAGCCATGGGCTGCTGTACGTGGTGCTCTTGTTGGTTAGTGCCACCACTGCCAGCATCCTCCTCAACCACTACTTTCAGCTGTGAGTGAGTTATGTTATGACACAACCAAGCTACCATACCAGAGAAAAACAGGCAGGCCAGACATCCTCTCACGTCCGTCCTTGTGCTGTGTCTGTCAGTGCGCTTCGGTGTGGGATGCATGTGGCGAGCTCTCTGACGACGCTGGTCTATCGGAAGGCGACAAGAGTCATCCCTGGCCAGGTGACTAAGCTCGATGATGACGACAGTGACGCCAAGAAGGGGCAGACCAAGAAGGCCGAGGCATCGGGTGCGGGAGGTGACAACACAGCCGACAGTGCGGGGGGCGAGACCGCCAAGAGCAAGTCGGTTTCAGTTGGGGAGATCGTCAATCTGATGAGTGTGGACACGGAGAGGGTGCGGGACATGCTCACTTACACACACCTCATCTGGTCGTCACCATTTCAGGTCAAACAGACAGGGACGGGCTCTCATGTCTTGTGCGCAGCTTGCTAAGTGGCACGTGGGTGTGTCATGTGTTGTGTTGTGCTGCGCTGCGTGTTCCGACAGGTAGTTCTGTGTGTGGCTCTTCTGCTGCGTGTGGTGGGCGTGGCCGCCTTTGTGGGCATGGGCGTGATGGTCCTCATGGGGCCACTGACAGCAACGCTGCTCAAGCGAATGGAGACACTGCAGAAGGAGATAATGAAACTCAGAGGTAGGTGAACACACGACAGACAGCAACCACACACACTGACACCGACGTATCGACCACTGCACTGCTCCGTGCATCCCTTGGATGTACGGTGGTGTGTGTATGGTGTAAACAGACGAGCGCGTCAAGATGACCAACGAGACGTTGGCGGGCATGAAGATCGTGAAGCTGTATGCCTGGGAGAAACCGATGGGGCAGCGAGTACGCGACGTCCGCAACAAGGAGCTGGCCATTCTGTGGAAGTGAGCGGAGCGACATGAAGCCAGCCAGCTGTCAACCCACACACACGGACCGGCTGACGTGACGCAGAGGTCTGTCTGTGTGGTGCTGTCTGTGTCCTGTGATGTGTATGTGTGTCTAGGTATCTGTCGCTGGAGGTGCTGAGTTGGTTGGGCTGGATGTCGCTGCCCACGATCGTGGCCGCGGCAACCTTCGCCGCATACACGCTGCTCGGCAACACCATTGACGCTCCAACAGCCTTCACCGGTCGGTCAGCTGCACTCACTGCATGGCCGGTGCTCATGACTCACTCTGTATGCTTCACTCGTGTCATGTTTGTTGTGGCTTGTGTCAGGTCTGTCGCTCTTCAACATTTTGACGTTCCCCATGCAGGCCATCCCGTACGTCATAATGGGGCTGGTCGAGACCCGCACATCGCTCGGCAGAATACAGAAGTTCCTCCTGGGCGACGAGATCACGCCCCTCCCCGCCCTCTCACCCGTCCATGCCGCCGTCCCGCCCGGCACCGCCACTGTCGAGTGCGCGAACATGAAGCTCGCTTGGCCAAACGGCACCGTCTTTCTTGACAACATCTCTCTCACGTGCCAGGCCGGGCAGCTCACCATGATTGTCGGACCGGTCGGAGCAGGTCGGTCAGGCCAGGACACAGAAACTGGGTGGGGGGACAGGAGACAGGACAGGCTCTGGATGGATAGGATATGTCTCTACTTGCCTTGGCGTGTGTGTGTGTTTAGGCAAGAGTGGTCTGTTGCTGGCCCTGATAGGCGACCTGACGCCTGCCAGCGGCACCTGCAGTGTGGTGGGGTCGCTGGCCTACGCCGCACAGACGGCCTGGATACAGAACTGCAGCCTGCGCGACAACATCCTCTTTGGAAGGGCCTTCGACCAAGGCAAGTACGACCGTGTCGTGGAGGCCTGTGCGTTGAAGCCCGACTTCTCCGTGCTGCCCGCTGGCGACCAGACAGAGATCGGCGAGAAGGGCATCAATCTGTCAGGCGGACAGAAACAGGTGCGCCAACGGAGGCGTGCACACACGCGAATAGAGAGAGAGATGTCACTGTGTCTGTCTGTCCGGTTTGCCTCTTCCGTCTGTCTCAGCGAGTGGCGCTGGCTCGTGCCGTCTACTCGGACGCCGACGTATACCTCCTCGACGACACCCTGTCTGCAGTGGACAGCCACGTGGCGCACCACATCATGTCGTCGGCCATCCTGGGTCTGCTCAAGCAGGCCAACAAAACCATCGTCATGGTCACCCACAACCTGCACGTCCTCCCCATGGCCGACCAGATCGTCACCATCCAAGACGGCGGCGTCCACTTCACCGGCGAGTACCAGGCCTTCAGAGAATCAGGCGGCGACCTTGCCACCTTCCTAAACACCGAAGAGGACGAGGAGGACGATGCGGGCGATGCCGGGCACGTGGACGAGGAGGAGGCAGACGATGTGCTGATGGACGAGATCGAGCGGAACCTGCTCGACGCCAAGGGCCCCAGTCGGCAAAGGAGTGCGAGCAGCGACAGGAGTGGGCGGAGCGGCCGGAGCGGCAAGAGGAAGAAGTCTATGCATGATAAGGACAAGGAGGCCCAGGCCGGCGACGCCGCCAAGAAGAAAGACTCCACCAGCGGCGCACTCATTGAGGACGAAACTGCCGCGACCGGCGCCGTATCACGAAAGGTGGGTGGGGGGAATGCAGTGCAGTGAGTCCAGTAGAGGAGGGCAGGAAACAAGTCAGTCCGCAGTCAAGTGCAGTGCTTTCCTCTGTGCTGTGCATGTGATGTGCATGTGATGTGTATGCAGGTGTATCGTGACTACGTGAGAGAGGGCGGTGTTGGCATCCTGGTGGCGGCTGGTGCGTTCCTGGTGCTCTCACAGGTCTTTCAGATCTCGGCAAATTCTTGGCTGTCATACTGGGCCGACCACCCATATGTGCTGGGATCCATCCTCAACTCGCTGGGTGTGTACTCGGCCCTCTGCATCGTGGACCCCATCACGATGTTCATTTCGCTGTGCTGCGGGTATGGTAGATGATTGCGATACTCTGTGCGTGTGGAGGACTCATTTGTTTCATTGGTGTCATTTGTTTCCGATGTATGTTCCTGTCGATGGAGGTATTTGCTGTCGTGGTACGCCGCTGGTGCCATGCACGAGCGGCTGCTGTCGTCCATCCTGCGGGCCACACAGGCCTTCTTCGACACCACACCCACAGGCCGCATTCTCAACCGGTACGTACGCCACGCTAGCTACGTACAAGGTCATGGATGGGATGTACACCTCACACCGACGCACCACTTGTGTGTTTCTCTTCCTCGTGTGTGCGGGGCGGGCGTTGTGTAGGTTTTCAAAGGACATCGAGACGATTGACGAGCGGCTGCTAGCGAGTCTGTGGGCCGTCTTGTTCGAAACGGTCGCCTTGGCAGGGAGCCTCCTGGTCATTCTCTATGTCGCGCCCTGGGTGCTGCTGGCGGTGCTGCCCCTGGCTGCCCTCTACTGGCTCACCCAACAGTACTACATCCCCACATCGCGGCAGCTCCGGCGCCTCAACAACATCCTCAAGTCGCCTGTCTTCTCGCACTTCAGCGAGACCCTCGAGGGGGTGTCGACCATCAGGGCGTTCCGAGCGGAGCATGAGTTCCGTAGCGAGAACGCCAGGAAGGTCGATAAGATGCAGCGGGCCTACTTCCTCTCGTGGATGGCCAACAGGTGGCTCGCCGTCAGGCTGGAGTTCATCGGCAACATCATCGTCTCGCTGGCTGGGCTGATTTGCGTGCTGGGGGCCTCCCACATCCCCAGCGGCATGGCGGGGCTCTGCCTCACCTATGCACTCATGGTCACTGAAGGTGGGTGACAGACAGAGGGAGGGAGGGAGACCGATGGATGGCTGGATGGATGGTTGTGTGGTGTGGTTCAGGGCTGAACTGGTTGGTGCGCAACTCATGTGAGTGAGTGCTGTCCCTTGATTGTATGTGTGTCAGCAAGTGACGTAAATGTATATGTAGGTGACCTCGAGACCAACATCGTGTGTGTGGAAAGGGTTCAGGAGTATGCTACCACCCTACCGCAGGAGGTCAGTATGACTGACGGCACGCACAGCAGACAGACAACGCACGGACGCATACGACCTCGTTTGTCTGTCTGTGTGTGTGTCAAGGCGGCGCTGGTGGTTGAGGGCAATCGTCCCCCATCCGACTGGCCCCAGAAAGGCAGGCTGTCTCTCAAGAACCTCCAAGTGAGATATCGGCCAGGGCTGCCTCTTGTCCTGAAAGGGCTCACCGTCACCATCGAAGGCGGCCAAAAGGTCAGCACTGCCACACACAGTGAGTGGTACACAGCGACCAGCTGTCTTCAATATCTCCTGTCTGTCTGTGTGTGTGTCCATCCATCCATCCCTCGCAGATTGGGATTGTTGGGAGAACTGGTGCCGGCAAGTCTACATTGATGCAGGTGTTGCTGCGGCTGGTGGAGCCCACGGCAGGATACATCGAAGTGGACGGCATCGAGTGCACTAAAATCGGACTAGACGACCTGAGGAAGCAGTTCAGCATCATACCACAGGACCCTGTCCTCTTCACGGGCTCGGTTCGCTTTAACATCGATCCGTTCGCACGGTGAGTGAGCATGACACCACACGCACTCAGACAGACAGACAGACAGGCCACACATGACTCATCCATCCATCCATCCATCAGGCACAGCGACGAGGAGGTGTGGCAGGCCCTCCGGCGTTCACATCTGTCAGATTTCGTCTCGTCCCTCCCGGACGGCCTGTCCTCTGTGGTGGAGGAGGGCGGCAGGAACTTCTCACAGGGCCAAAGGCAGCTGCTGTGCCTCGGCAGGGCGCTGCTGCGACGTTCAAAGATCATCCTCCTTGACGAGGCCACCTCTGCAGTCGACCACAAGACAGACGCGCTCATACAGGTAAATGGGTCGACAGTGGTCACACGTCGAGGCCCCCACCCTTATCTGTCTGTCTGTCTGCGTATATGTCAGACGACCATCCGCGAGGAGTTCAGATCATGCACCGTCCTCACCATCGCCCACAGAATACACACCATCCTCGACTCAGACAAGGTGACGTTACACGCATCCACATGCCCAATAATCCCTCCCCACCCACCGGTGTCTCCTCCTGCCTGTCGGTCGCGTCATTCAGGTGCTGGTAATGGATCACGGGTTGGTGGCCGAGTTCGACTCGCCCAAGCGGCTGCTGCAGAGACGCACCAGCATCTTCAGCTCCATCGCGGCCCAGGCGGGCATCACCGACGCCACGACTTCGTACGGCAGCAGATCACCCAGGCCATCATGATGGATGGGAGGGGAGGAGCAGGGCGGGTGGAGAGACGGGGAGGGGGG